GAGGGGGAGATATTTTTGCTATAGGATGCGTGCACTTGCCAGAGAGACAGAGAGAAAACGACAAGAAATCACCCCCCAGGGTGATGGCCATGCCACAGTTCCTTCTCCTCCATTCGCCTTTAGGGATTTGGGGCACACACACACATGTGCCCTGAGTGAGTTTTAAGACACTGGATCCAGGACTCAAATGTGGTAGTCCAGCAACTTGTAACCATAACACCATCTGCTCGTGAGAAGACCCAACTGTGTTGTCTCCTAATGCATGAACAAATTATATCTTTCCACTTATTCAGGTCTTTAATTTCTTTCATCAGTGTTTTCTTTTTTTCATAATATAGATTATTTACATGTCTTACTAAACATGCTAAATACTTAAGTATTTAATTTTCTTGGAGCAACTGTAAATTGTATTAATTTTTAAATTTGTTTCCCCAGCTGAAATATATATGTACAATTTATTTTTATATATTGATTTTATATCCTAAGACCTTGCTAAACTTCCTTCCTTCCTCCACCGTTTTTAAATTTTTTTGAAGAGTTCAGGGCATTGATTTTCTAGAATTCTAAATTTACCCTATTATTTCTATCATTATCATTTAACTTGGTTCTTTTTTTTTTTTCTTTTTTAGAGAGTTTTTTTGTTTGTTTGTTTTTTTGCTATAGGGCATGTGTGCTTGCCAGAAAGACAGAGACAGAAAGCGAGAAATCACCCCCCCCAGGGGGATGGCCATGCCGCAATCCCTTTCTCCTCCATTCTCCTCTCGGGATCTTGGGCATACACGCACATGCGCCCGGCGTGAGTTTAAGCCACCGGATCTGGGACTCGAACCGCAGTCAACTACATGGCATTCCAGTGACGTAGCCATTACACCAATTGCTGGTCCCTTAACTTGGTTCTTCATCCTACATACTTCTTGTAAACTCAGTTTAGTGCCCTGATTATACTCAGGGTTTGGGGGGTTATTTTTGGCAAAAACACATACTATGTACTTCATATTGAATTTAAAAACATGTTTTAATTCTTTAAAACAGTTGTAGTGTATAATTTATTTCTTAAAATAAAATAATTTGGTATCAATATTTTTAAGAGCTTTTTTGTTTTTGTTTTTTGCTATAGGGCAGTCTCACCGGAGAGACAGAGAGATACTGATAGAAAAGACAAAAAAATCACCTCCCACAAGAGGTAGCCATGCTGCAATCCCTTCTCCTCTATTCCTTTTTTTTTTAGAGAGAGGTTTTTGCTATAGGGCAAGTGCACTAACTAAAAGACAGAGAGACAGAAATTGAGAAATCACCTCTCAGTGGGGATGGCCATGCTGCAATCTCTTCTCCTCCATTCTCCTCTCAGGATCTTGGTTATGCACGCACACACGCCTGCTGTGAGTTTAAGCCACCAGGTCTGGGTCTCGAACCATGATCGACTGCATGGGAGTCAGCAACATAGTCATTACGCCAACTGATGGTCCCCCTCCTCTAGTCTTTTCTTTAGAGAGAGCTTTTTGTTACAGGGTGCATGTGCTCTCCAGAGAGACAGAAAGAAAGTGAGAAATCACCCCCCATGGGGGATGGCCATGCCACAATCCATTTTCCTGCATTCTCCTTTTGGGATTTGGGCAAGCACAGACATATACCCAGTATAAGTTTTAAGCCGTTGAGTCTGGGACTCAAACTGTAGTTGACTACATGGGAGTCCAACAACATAACCATTACGCCATCTGCTAGTCCACCTTCTCCTTCATTCTCCTCTCAGTATTTTGGGCACACACACAATGTGTCTGGAGTGAGTTTTAAGCCACCTTGTCCAGAACTCGAACCGTTGTTGGCCATGTGAGAGTCCAGCAATATAACCATTACATCATCTGCTAGTCCCCTGGTTTTAAACTTTGAAAAAATTTTGCAAGTCCTTATTTTGTAATTTATGTTACCTTTCTTATTTATTTTTTCTTTTTCAAGTTTTTTTTTTTTTTTTCCATTAGCACATGCATTCACCAGAGAGGGAAAGTGAGAGGGAAAGTGAGAAATCAACCCTGTAGGAGGGGTGGCTATACCACAATCCCTTTTCCATTCTTTTCTCGGGATTTTGAGCATGCATATACATACACCAGGCGTGATTTTCTTCTTCTTTTTTTAAAGAGTTATTTATTAATTTTATTTGGGAACTTGAGAGTGAAGAAGCAAGCTACCAGGTCCAGGACTCAAACTGTTGTCAGCCATGTGGGAGTGTCCAGCGCCTTAACTACCATGTTACCTGCTGGTCCAACCACTTGTGATTTTAAGCCTCCAGGTTTGAGTCTTAAAACACAACTGATGGGACCAGCAGTTAGTGTAATGGCTATGTCACTGGACTCTCATGTAGTCAACCGCAGTTTGAGTCCCGGGCTTGGTGGCTTAAATTCACGCTGGGTGCATGTGCGTGCATGCCCAAGATCCCGAGAGGAGAATAGAGCAGAAGGAATTACAGTGTGGCCATCCCCCCTGGGGGGTGATTTCTCACGTTCAGTCTTTCTGTCTCTCTGTCTCTCTTTCTGGCGAGTGGACACGCACTATAGCTAAAAACTTCTCCAAAAAAAAAAAAAAAGAAAACCCAACACAGTCGGTCTTGTCAGAATCCAGTGCCTTGATCACTATACCACCTGCTGTGCCATTTTGTTCATCTTTTGAAATGGGGCACCTTTTTTTATCATGTAAAAATGTTTTCACTCTTAAGACTTATACTGCTAGAACTCTATATTAAACCACATGTTTTTTGTTAAATAATTTTTTTTTCTTTGTATAACTTTTAAGGTTTTACTTGGAAGAACCTCCAGGAACACAGAAGCTTTATTTGGGAAGAACTGCTCCACCCTCAAAAGTGATTTATCTTGCTGATAAAGAACAGTCTAACTGGACAAAAGAAGTACAAGGAATTTCAGAACAGTGAGTGTCACAAAAAGTATTTGAGATTGACTCAGTGGAATAGCAGTAATGTGCTGCTCAAGCAATGCTCGGTCCCTGCAAAAGATAGTGGGTTTAGTTTTTTGTCGGTCTGTACATGCCAGTCATAGATACTCATGATCTTGGCTGGCTGGGAAGACTTGGGGGAATCATGGCGTTAAGAGTTTGTTGTGAGTTGCTTGCCTTTACCTTTCTTCTAACTCATGAAAAACTTTATCAAAAAAGTAGTTGATAGAAGAGAACTAGATCTGTTTTAATGTACCCAACCTCTAACTTATTTTCCACTTAACATGGTAGTTACTCTGAATACTGACCACATCTTCATTGTATAATCTAAAGAAAGTGGAACCAGCAGTTAGCGTAATGACTGTGTCTCTGGACTCCCACGTAGTCAACCACGGTTCGAGTCCTGGACCCGATGGCTTAAACTCACACCGGGCGCATGTGCGTGCGTGCCCAAGATCCCGAGAGGAGAATGGAGGAAAAGGGATTGCGGCGTGGCCATCCCCCCTGGGGGGTGATTTCTCGTTTTCTGTCTCTCTGTCTCTCTCTCTCTATCTGGTAAGCGCACGTGCCCTATAGCAAAAAACAAAAACAACAACAACAAAAAAAGCTCTCCTAAAGAAAGTAATAAGTTCTAGTTTAAAATAATATCTAGCTAACAAAAGTTATAGCTGGGCTCAGTTTGTCAATAAAATAATTTATGAAGTACAGAAAAATAAAAATGAAATGATAGTGGCTTAATATTATGGATAATATTTAATTTGTCTGAATTTAAGAGCTATTTTAACTAACCATTAAGGCCATTAAATTTCTTAGCCACATGTAAGTAATAAAAATAGGAAGAAAGATTTTTTGGGGGGTGGGTTGCTATAGGGCGCATACGCTCCTAGAAATACAGAGAGAGACAGAGAGACAGAAAGTGAGAAATCACCCCCCAGGGAAGATGGCCATGCTGCAATCCCCTCTCCTCCATTTTCCTCTCAGGACCTTGGGTACACATGCACACTTTCTGGGCTTAAGTTTAATTCACCGGATCCGGGACTCGAACTGCAGTTGACTACACGGGAGTCCAGTGACGTAGTCATTATGCCAACTCCTGGTCCTGAGGAAGGAAGATATTTTATTCTTCATCCTCTTAATGAAAAAGAAATTATTATATTTATATTTTAGCAATTAAAAATATAGGTTGATTCAGTTTTCCTAATGAACATACAGTCAAATAGATGGTTGGAAAATAAAGACAAAAAGAAAGCATCAATCAGACAAAAGTTAATCAGACAAAGCTGGATCAGCCCATAGCCTAGTGATTAAGGGAGCCAGACCCCTCATGGTCGGCTGTGGTTCAAATCCCAGCCCTGGTGGCTTGAAAAACCAGGCCATTGTGCTTACATGCCCAGAATGCCAACAGCATAAAGAATTGGAGAAGAAAAGACTACAGCATGACCATTTCTCATTGAAGGATACTTTCTTCCTTTATGTGTCTCTATAGCTCTCTCTCTCTGGCAAGCACTCATACCTTCTGGAAATATAAATTGTGTGTGTGTGTGTGTGTGTGTGTGTGTGTGTGTGTCAGAAAAAGTTTAACTGAAGACCAAAGAAAGAAAAATATGATTACTTAGGAAAATTTATTTTACAATGTAAATAGAACAATATAAACCTTTATAGACTGAGTAATATAATTTATATATACCTCTATTCAGTGAATTTCAAAACTCTTTCTCACTTTATGTCATCTCTGAATTTAGAACATATTTTGTAATATTGTAAGTCCATTGGCAGACTTTTTTTGTTTAGTGGGACATAAAATATTAATACATCTTACAATTGATTGTGTCCTGCAGACTTCTCAAAAACTTGAAACAAATTAAGGAACACTGTAAGTTTGGAAGCTTGGCCTTTTTGTCCCGACAGATCTAGTAATGAAAAAATAGATTAGCAAAAGTAAAATCTAAATAATATAGTTTAGACACTTTATTCTTTTGAATGCAGAATTTACTACTTTTACATTCAAGGGGTTTTTTAATTTTAATTTAATTCATTATTATTATTTTTTAATTTGCCATGGGACATGAACACTTACCAGAGAGAAAGAGAGAAACAAATAGAGTGAGAAAGCAAGCCACCAGGTTCAGAGACTTGAACTGTGGTCAGCCTTAATATAGCGCCTTAATCACCACACCACTTGCTGGTCCCACATTCAGGATTACGATCGATAGGTATGGACCTGTCGTTTTGTTTGTTGCTTCCTGATTGTTTTGTGTTCCTTTTTCTTTTCTACTTATGTTATTCTTTATCTTTGGTGTTGAGCAGTTTTCTGTGGTGGTAAAGTTTGAACTTTCATCTTACTTATTTGTATGATTGCTCTACTGGAAAGTTTTATACCTTTGCATGTTTTCATAATGTTTATCTTGCTTTTATTTCTAATTATAGGACTCCTCTAAGTATTTCTTAAAAAGCCAGTCTGATATTAGTGAATTGTTTATATTTTTGTATATCTGAGGAAAACTGTATTTTTCCTTTGACTCTAAAGTATAGCTTTGCTAGGTATAAAAATCTTGACCTAAAGTGTGTTTCTTTCTGAATTTTGACTATGTTGTCCAATTCTCTGTTAGCCTGTAAGGTTTCCACTGAAAAGTCTATTGTTAGACTGATGGGGAGAACCTTACTGTGTAATTTGATGCTTTTCTCATGACATTTTTAGGACTTTTATCTTTTTCTTTGAATTTTGACATTTTTACCACAGTGTGCTGGAGAAGATCTTTTTTTGTTGAATCTGTTTGGCAACTTTTTAATTTCCTGGACCTGAATGTCTACCTAGGTTACAAAGTTCTTAGTTAATATTTTATGAAATAGGTGTTCTATGCCTTTTTCCATCTCTTCCTCTTCTGAAATTCACATTATGCAAATATTCAGTTATATAAAAGTATCTTATTACTTGCAAATGTTTTTATTTTTTAAAATGTCATGTTTTCTGGGACCAGCAGGTGGCATGTTGGTTAAGGTGTTGGATTCCCACATGATCAGCTATAGTTTGAGTACTGGACCTGGTGGCTTAAAAATCATGCCAGAAACAATCAATCAATCAATAAAAAATTATGCTGAGCATAGGTGTGTGCTTGCCCAAAATCCTGAGAGGAGAATGGAGAGAAGGGATGGTGTCCCCCAGAGGGTGATTTCTTACTTTCCCTCTCTCTGTCTTTCTCTCTCCAGTGAGCGTGCATGCTCTACCGCAAAAACCTTAAAAAAATTATATTTTCTAGCTGGGTTATTTCAAAAGTTCTGCCTTCAAGTTAAAATTTCCTTTTTCTTTTTTTTCCATTTTTGCAATGAGTCATGTGGGTTTACTGAAGACAGATATGGAGGGAGGGAGGAGAGGACAGAGAGAGATAGAGAGAGAGATGGCAAGAAAGTGAGAAATTACTCCCCCAAAGGGATGGCCAGGTTGCTGTTCTTTCGCCTCCATTCTCTTGTCAGAATTTTTGACACACACATACACACCCCTGGTTTGATTTTCAAGCTGCCAGATCCAGGACTTGAACTGCAGAGTTAGCCATGTAGGACTCTGTGCCTTAACCTCTATGCCATCTGTTAGCCCCAAGTTAAGATACTCTTACTTCTGCTTGATCTAGCCTGTTGTTGATACTCTCAACTGAATTTTTTGTTTCCATTAGTGACTCACTATATGCCAAGTCGCTATTTGATTCTTTATTTTTATTTTATTTTATTTTATTTTATTTTTTGGAGAGGTTTTTGTTATAGGGCATGTGCACTCACCAGAAAGACAGAGAGAGACAGAAAGACAGAAAGCAAGAGATCACCCCCTTGGGGTGATGGCCATGCCACAATCCCTTCTCCATTCTCCACTCGAGATCTTGGGCACACATGCACCTGATGTGAGTTTAATCTATTGGGTCTGGGACTTGAGCCATGTTTGACTACATGGGAGTCCAGCAACATGACAATTATGCCAACTGCTGGTCCCTGATTCTTTATTTTAAGGTGTCCACCTGATAGAATTATTTGTATCTGAATTATCTTGCATCTCATTAAGATTAATTTCCTGAATTCAATTTGCAATTTCTTTAGTTTTCTGTTTTACATCCTGTTGCTATAAAATTATTATACTCTTTGGAAGAAGGTGCTTCCTTGTTTTTTCACATTTCTTGTGTCACTGCATTGATGTCTGGGCATCTGGTGGGGCACTTACTTCCTCCTGTTTTATCTTTAGGTGTATCCTTTAGTATTAGTTGTGTCAGAGACCAGCAGTTGGCATAATGGCTATGTCGCTGGACTCCTATGTAGTTGACTGCCGTTCAAGTCCCAGACCCGGTGGCTTAAACTCACACTGGGCTCATGTGCGTGCGTACCCAAGATCCTGAGGGAATAATGGAGAAGGGATTGCAGCGTGGCCATCCCCGATTTTTTGCTTTCTGTGTCTCCTCCGTGTCTCTCTGTCTTTCTAGCGAGTACTTGTGCCCTATAGCAAAAACCTCTCAAAAAAAAAATTTATATATATATACATATATATATACACATATATATGTATATATATATATACACACACACATACATACACATTTGCTATAGGGCACGTGCGCTCACCAGAAAGACAGAGAGACAGAGAGCAGAAAGTGAGAAATCAACCACCAAGGGGGATAACCATGCCACAATCCCTTCTCCATTCTCCTCTCAGGATCTTGGGCATGCATGCACATGCACCTGGAGTGAGTTTAAGCCACCGGATCCGGGACTCGAACCACGGTCGACTACATGAGAGTCCAGTAACATAGCCATTATAACTGCTGGTCCCAGAATCTTTCCAGCTGAATCTGCAAGTATTTGTAGATGAAGTGATGCTGGATGTGGGGACCATTGGAGTTGTGAATCAGGACCTCTAATTATGGATGGGGGGAGATAGTATTTGGGGGCCCTTATGGTCCTGGAGGCATCCCCAGGAACAGTGGTTGTAGCAAGCACTAACTGTGGAGGTGCTGGTGACCTTAGGCTATGGTTGAGGCACATGAGGGCACTGAAGTTCTATTAAAGAGGTAAATTTGCTACCAGTGTTAGCCGTCACATCCAGACTGTTGTCCTCTGGCCTGCTTCTTATGTACTCAGTGTGTAGGGATCCACTGACCCAGGGGATGCAGTCTCCAGTAGTGGTAGCCAGCACACTCAAGCCAGTATTTACAAGTTCTGGATGAGGCTAGTGTGGTATGCTAGGGTCCTGCCAAAAGAAAGACTAAAATGTCCTGTACCTGCGGTGGCACCTACCATGTGGGATGGCTGCCCAAGTTCTCAGACCCTATGTTGGGCACAGAAAGTTACCTCTGGTCAAAGAGCTAGGTAAGGTAGCTGCTATAAACAGGCAGTATCCTCTGACTTCAGTGGGTCACACAAGGGGTACAGATCTTATCCTAATGGAGGAGGGCCTGGGAGTGTACTTCAAGGGGATATGATCATCTGCTTTATGAGCTCTGAAGCCTGGGAAGTAGTTGGATTGGCTCTGAGAAGGTGGGCATAAGACTCCATCGTTTGGTGCTGCCTGTCTTGTCAGTGCTGGTAGCTCAGGGAATGTTCCCACTAGCCCCTCTCTTGAAGCAAGGGCACCACCAGTCACTGGCTCTGTGTATCTTCTTAGATTCTCAACTCCAGAAGAAATACCTAGGAGTATTTCTGGACTGGACAGTCCCAGTGCCCACCACTTCACCAGCACCCCTCCCCTTAGTGTCTGTGTCTCTAATGGCAACCTCTCCCCGAATGGCCTGCCTTTGTGAGCATAAGCCATGGCTTTCCTGGGTAGGAGTGACTTTGGTTGCCACAGAAGGGGAGTTGTATCCTGTCCAGTCGTACATCTGGGGAAGGAGGAGTACAGGTTCTTCAACTGGAATGGCATTTGTCCACGGTCCTCAGTTTCTGAGGGTATAGTGTATTCAGAGACCTCAGACTGAGGGTGGAGTCCAGAAATGTTCAGTCACTGAGAGGCACCTGCCCCAATTCTTCAAGACTCAGGGGTGTTCTCCCCACTGCAGTATACCACCTGTTCCCTAGATAGCAGGGTGTTACCAGTACTTAGGTGCTGGATTACTGCTTGATCACTGCCTTAGCTGTTGGCATGGCTCTACTTTCCTTCTTTGTGTAGGCTTGCTGGGGTGACAGCAGTCCCTCAGGGAAGCAGAGGTGCAGCAGGTTCTGCTAGTCCCTGGAACATAGTGCAATTTATCTGCGACTCTGCTCATAGGATGGCATTATGTACTAGGAGTGTGGGGTGTTGGGAAGGGAGAGTCCAGTATTTTTTTTGAGTGAGTGACTCTGAGCAACTCCCTATCCTGGGTTCATAATCTGTTCTTACTTTCTGGCTCTCAGTTGGGAGTGCACATGTCCAAAGTGGAAATGAGAAGTCAAGAAGTTCCAGGAGTTTCTTACTTTCCTTTTCCAAACAGTGGGGAATTTCCCTTTGTTCAGAAGTCCTTCTGGATCTGACATTTTGTCTCCCTTTCTATGTCTTCATGACAAGTTAGAGTCTTAGAGATTTCTCTCTATCTTTTTACTGTATTCCAGTAGATTCTCCTCACTCCTCTGCTCAAAGCACAGCCAATTTCTGGAAGTTTTTGTGGTCTTTCTTTGTGGAGAGAGATTGTCTAGTTGGCCATCTTTTTCCACAGTAAGAGTTCTTATATTTAAATAGAATTGGTACAGTACCAATTAAATATCATTGATACTGTTTTTCTTCTACCTCTCAAAATGATTATATTGTGCCATCCTATGGTGTGGTGGTTAATGCAACTGAATCCCCATATGGCAAACTGCAGATCAAGTCATGGACCTGGCAACTTGAAAGACACACTGGGTGTTTGTTTTCATGCCCAAAATCCTTAGAGGAAAAGGGACCGTGGTGTGGCCATCCCCTACAGGAAGTGCTTTTTCAGTTTCCCTCTCTTGCTCATACTCTCTATGATGAACACACATGCCCTATAGCAGCTTTAAAATCATCATATCAGGTTGGCAGGTGGCATGGTGGTTAAGGGCATTGGTCTCCCACATGGCAGACTGTGGTTTGAGTCCTGGACCTGGCAGCATGCTTGCTCTCTCTCTCTCACACACATCAAAATTTAAAAAAAAATAATAAATAAAGTGAAATAAAATAATTCTTAAAAGAAAATGATCATATCATTTGCTTGTTTCTTTTTCCATACTTTGATGAATTACATTGATTGTATTTTCAATATTAATTGACCCCTGGGTTCCTGGACTAAATCCCATTTAGTTATGGGATCTTATCCTTTTCGTGTATAAATTTTGATTTTTTTTCTGTTACATTTTGTTTGGATTTTTCATGAATTTTCATACACACTGTAGCACGTCTCTGTGCTTATTTCTGCCTATGGCCAAAAAAAATTTCATTATGTGGATATATTATCTTTTGTTCATCTGTTTACCCACCTGTGGACATATGGGCTGTTTCTACTTTTTGGCTGTTAGGAATAGTGCTGATGGGATTAGCAGGTGGTGTGATGGTTAAGGCTCTGGACACTCCCCCACGGCTGACCGTGGTTCGAGTTCCAGACCTGGGAGCTTGCTTTCTCACTTTCCTTCTCTCTGTCTCTGTCTCTCTCTTTGTCTCTCTCTGATCAAATTAAAATAAGTGAATGAACAAATAAAATTAAATAAATTTTTTTTAAAAAAAAAGGAATAGTGCCGATATGAGCATCGTGTATCAGTATTTACTTGAGTACCTGTTTTCGTATTGTAGGTTTTATACTTAGAATTTCTGGGTCACATGGCAATTCTTTGTTCATTTTCTTGGGGAACTGCAAACTATTTTCCAAAACAGCTGCACCGTTTTATGTTCCCACAGTAATGTACAGGTGTTCACTTACTCCACAGCCTCACCAGTTCTTGTTGTTTTTCCCTTTTTAAATTATAGCCATGTAAAACATGTTTCTTATAGCTCTGTGAATTTTCGTTTAATTGCATTGTCAGTGTGAGTGGAATCCACAGAGTAAAATAAGAAATACAAGAGGTCTATAAGTACCCAGAACTGCTAGTATATTTACTGAAGTGTCTACTTAAGCATCTGATTATCATCCTAGAGTATGTACATACCTGTAAATGTGTATCTGTTTCTTTATTTTTTTTCTTTCAGCTACCTGAGAAGAAAAGGAATAATCATAAATGAAACTTCTGTAGTTATATATGCTCAATTACTCACAGGTCGTAAATATCAAATAAATCAAAATGGTGAAGTTAGACTAGAAAAACAGTGGTCAAAGCAAGTTCTTCCTTTTGTTTATCAAACTATTGTCAAGGTGAGTCTGCATCTGGTCTCAATTCTATCTTAAAATACACCCTATATAAAGAAAAGGCCATATCATATTAATATGTATTTATAAATAGAAAAGTAATTCAGTAATTATTTAATATAATTCACAAATACCTTAGTCTTTATTAGGGGTATTACATACTTAGAAATTCTGTATATACAGTTAAAGAACGTACTCTCTTTTTTTTGTAGAGGTTTTTGCCTTAGGGCATGTGCGCTGAGAGAGAGACAGACAGTGAGAGGGAGAGCAAGAAATCACCCTCCAGGGGAGATGGCCATGTGCAGTCCCTTCTCCTCCATTCTCCTCCTGGGATCTTTTATGACTTAGTCTCAAAAAGAACAATCCCAACATTAAGTTGTAACTTCATATTATAGAGTTAAATTCTTCAAAAATGTTTGCCTTAAATCAACTAATAAACATAAAAGGTATTTTTCTTTTGTATTTATAATCTTGCATATGATAAAAGAATGAAATTTTTATTTTTATTTTTTTGGAGAGGATTTTGCTATAGGGCACATGTGCTCACCAGAAAGAGAGAGACAGAGAGACAAAAAGTGAGAAATCACCCCCCCGCTCCCAGGAAAGACGGACATGCTGCAGTTCCTTCTCCTCCATTCTCCTCTTGGGATCTTGGGCATGCACACACACGTGCCCAGCGTGAGTTTAAGCCACCAGGTCTAGAACTCAAACCGCGGACGACTACATGGGAGTCCAACGACATAGCCATTACACCATCTGCTGGTCCCAAGAATGAAATTTTTTTAAAGTACGCAGTGATCCTATAATTTAGGGAGGTACAACGTAGTGTAGTGATTAAGAGCATAGATTCCCTCAGTTGGCTTCTTAACTGTGTAACATTGGTCAAGATTCATTCCCTTCTGTCTCCCAGTTTCCTCATCTGTAAAATGAAGCACATAGCATGTGCATAATCCCAGAAAAACGTTTCATGTGTCTTCAGAAATTTTGACTCTGATGATTTGTATTTCTTTTTAAATAGGACATTCGTGCTTTTGACTCCCGTTTCTCCAGTATCAAAACATTGGATGATTTGTTTCCTCCTACAAGTATGGTCTTCATGCTGGGAAGCCCCTATTATGGATGCACAGGAGAAGTTAGTTTCAGTTATTGTTACTAATTAAATTCCTTTCTGGTTTCAAATTAATATAGTTATTTACTACGTGTCTTCATTGAGATACATAATAAAATGTAATGCTGAAGGGGAAAAATAAGAATTTATCCATGTAACTTATGAATGCAGTATATGATTGTATATTTTCAGTCTTGAGTGTGTTAGGATCAAGAGATAAGAGATAAAGAATTCAAATCCTGATTACTCTTTTAATAGGTTTGTTTATTTTGGTGGCATGGATGGTGCAATTCTGAAACTTTTTATTTATTTATTCTCTTTTTTGTTATATGGCATATGCACTCACCAGAAAGAGACAGATGCAAAGGGGAATGAGAAATCACCCGCTAGGGGGCTGGCCATGCCACAGGATTTTGGGCACATGCACACACACACCTGGTGTGTCAAGCGGCCAGGTCCAGGACTCAAGTGGCTTAACCAGCCATGTGGGATCCAGCCACCTTATGCTCCACACCATATGCTGGCTCCATTTTCTGAAACTGTTTTATTTGATTGTCAGAGGGCACACACACTCACCAGAGAAAGAGAGAGAGAAGAAAACAAGCAAGCAAGCACCTCGAGCAGGGCACAGTCACACCACATCCTTTTTCTTACATTCTGTCAGAATTTGGGGCACACAGGTACACGTATCCAGAATGTTTTTCAAGCTGCCCGTGGCCAGAATTTGAACCTTGGTTTGCTATGTGGGATCTGGCTTCCAATGCACAGTGTTTAATAACTGCAGTATGGGGCATGCCCTAAAACTATTTTAGATGTATTATAGGGTTAAGCAAATTTGTAAATGTGTTGATGTTTTGAGGACTCTGATTCTCACACAGAAAAAGATATGTAAATATATGAAATGGAAGAAAATAAGAAAGAGACTTTGGGGGCATATTTGGAGGTATTGTTATAAACTCCTGGTTTCTAAAATACTCATTATAGGTGTATGTGTATATATGCATGTAAATGTGTGCATATCTAGCTATGGCATACATATATTGAATCGTCAGAATAAGTCAGGATGCTTTTTTGCATAGAAAAATACATCGTGACTTTTCCAACAACCCAATACTTTCTAGTTTGATTTGCTCAAAGGGATAAGAAGCAAAGACACTCTGGTGGCAATGAACACACATATCAACCTCATCTTTACCTCTAATATTATACCCTAATAAAAGAAATAGGACTTTTCAGAGAAATTACTACTTCTAGGTCTGGAAGCAAGGGAGATAGAAGATGATCCTGGAGCATCTTGTTATGTCAGAAAATAAGGATGTACACATAAGAAAGATGGGAACATGTCATGTAAACACAGGATCCAGACTGAAGGAGCCCCCATTGACCATAACTGGGACAGTTTGCATACAGTACACTAGGTATATTAAATACAGTAATGAAATTATAAGCGATGGGGGTTAACAAGTCATGATTTCATAATAAAAATAAAAAGGTAACATGATTTCATAACTAAATAAAAAGGCTTGAAAATCACACTGGGTGCATGTGTGCCTAAAATCCCAAGAGGGAATAAAGGAGAAGGGGTTGCAGTGTGGCCATCCCACTGGGAGTTGCTTTCTCACTTTCCCTCTGTCTATCTCTGTTTCTCTCCCGTGAGTGCGAATACCCTATAGCAAAAATTTTTAAAAACAATGAAAGAAAAAGAAAACCATTTTGTAACCACCTGAAGGTTGAATCAGGTAAAAATCATCATTGGAAACTAAATCTAGGAAAAATTTCTCGTTAGGAGGAGGATATTTACATGATCTTAGAAAGTATCTACCCATAGCCTACTTACTACCTACAAGAGATACAGAAACTGTAGTGGTGCATTGAAGAAACTGAGCAGCATCTTGATGGGGATGATTGATCAAGCTGGTATCGCAGTGAGGGACAAATCAACATTGTGTACCTTCAGATGTGATACCCTGAGAAGAGCTCATCACCTATGCACTATTCTAGCTGAGAGTGTATAACCTTGACCTCATTACAGGGAAGTGTCAGACACACCCAAAATGAGGAATTTTTCTTTTTTAAAGGCAGAGTGGAGAGGGCAAATGTATCTGTTCGGCGTTGGTGAGGGCCATATGCCACTTTGGCCCAAGGTGGAACATTGAAAAGGCCAGCAAGCTTCTTTTATAACAATTTGCTCTTGTGGGAAGTGATTAGAGAGAACTTTCTCTTTGCTAAAAGATGGCATTAATCTCTTCTTGAGGGATCAACTCCCATGTCCTTCCAAGTAGGCCCCACCTGCCCACACTGCTGGTTTGTTACCAAATTCTTTCTTTGGGACAAATTGTATTCTTCAAAATGTCAATGTCGGACCATCCCATATCTTAGTTAAATGTTAAAACCATTTGCTTTACAATGTTAACAGCAGTTGAATCTTCAGTACTTACAACTGATCTTTTTTACTATTTTAGTTTGCAACTTTTTGGTATTTTAAAATCATTTGCAAATAAAAGTTTATTTTAAAAGAATGATTAACTCCTATTAAAGCAAAGACATAATAACTTAAATATACAGTATTATCACAACCACTTACAAATTCCAAGAGAATTTCCACTGTCAAACTTTATTGTCATGCTGTGTTTGAGAAATAATAAATACTATTTTAAGTAAACAGAAAATAAAATGTAGTCAAAGATTTTTTTTTAATATTTTGAATTTTTTTTCCTTCAAGGTTCAGGATTCAGGTGATGTGATTACAGAAGGTAGAATTCGTGTGGTTTTTAGCATCCCATGTGAACCCAATCTCGATGCTTTAATACAGAACCAGCACGTGAGTACTGCACTTCATATTGCTTTATTTAGAACCAATAAACTTTTAAAATATAAAAGGATATTTTTGTCACCTCCTTTGAATTTATTTTAAATATTTATTTAATACAGATAAGATTCTCTCATATTTGCATCTATTATTGTTTAAAAATAGGTGTAGAATCTGTGCTTAAAACCTCATGTAGTTCATAGGAAAATCTCACTATTAATTCATAATGGTTATTATGGATTATTATGCTCAAGCATAGAAGAGGCACATTGATTAGTATACCCTGTAAGAGACTTAGCTGTTTTTAAGCCTTTTGTAATAATTCAAAGCCTGCATTTTTAATTACCAGTGACAAATAGGTTATCTGCAAAAGGTATTTATCTCTATTTAATAATCTCAACCCTAGAGAATATTAGAAAGTTGAATTTACTGAATCCATGGATCCTTTTTCAGGACATTTTCTCCAAACATTTTCACTGGTCTCCTTTTACCCTGTTACAATAGAGTGAAGGTTCTGATATCTGTCACTTGTTCTTATTGATTAGGCAATTGATTGGCTTAGCTGAAGTCAATTCCTCATCAACCATTGGTACTTTTTTTTTTTCCTAATGGTAAAATCTAAAGCTTCTTATCCCTTGAAATGAATTTAAAATTTAATCATCAGCTTTATGTATGGAAAACAGAAACATCCCTAAAATCTTATCAGCAGGTCTTTTTTGGAGAAAAATTTTAGACAGTATAGTCAAGAACTAGGAAAGCGATCCTTTACATAAAGAAGTTGGAGCTTTGTTCTGGAAGTTAGTGACGGTGGAAGAATTTGTGTTAATTCATCCCTGGCCTTTTCTAGATTCAGAAAAAGAAGAGCTTCCCTACTTGTAGCATAGTGTTGATCAGCACTCCTTCTTCAGTGTTCTTTCTTCCTGCTTACATGCTTTTTTCTTTCTTTCTTTCTTTTTTAAGTTTCTTTATTTCTTGAGTGAAACAGAGAAAGACAAAGACACAGACGCAGCACTCCCTTACAGGGTCCACTCCCTTGCAGGGTCTTGATGCAGCACCTCACTCCCAGCCTCAGCCAGCCCCAGATCATGGGCACTAGCCTGCCCAGTGAAGTCAGGGAAGTGTCTGGATGCAAACCCATAACCTCGCCACACGATTCAACCTTGCAGAACATCTCATTTTACCACTGTGTTGCCATCTGGCCCTAATCGCTTTTATTTAAGTTTCCCTTTTTTATTTATGATGGAGTGCATACATGCCCACGTGAGGATGAAAGAGAGACACAGAGTAGCATCCTTGACAGGGTCTGGTCATGCTGTGCTTCCCTTTCTTTCAGCCCATCAGATCCTGGTCACTCGTGCACATGCCTGGCATGTTTCAGGCTGATTGGGCAAGGGGGTCAAATGGTGATCACCATCTGGGACCAGCCTCTCGTAAACAGCACATTACTGCTATGCTTGGCGCCAGCCCATGGCCCCAGTCTGTACATACCTTCTTAAACCTTAACTCAATTTATTCTCTATACCAGCATTCTCAGCTCTCTGGCTAACATTTTTTATGACATTTGTTATCATTTAAATTAATTTTTAATTATAGCATAACCAAGTATTTCTCAAAAGGAGTATTGTTTGTATTTGGGGCAGGACATTTATGTATTAAATAGGACTATTCTGTGTGTGGCAGGACATTTGGTATCTCTGGCCCTTGGACACTAAGTACTAGTAGTTCATGACAGTTATTACAACTGAATAGGCCCCTACACGTTTCCAAATGAAATATGATATTAGAAATATGATACTACTTACAATTGAAAACTACTACCTTAATTCTTCTGTTCTATTCTGGAAAGCATTCTTGATTTTTATTGTATTGCTACTACATCTGATGTTCTTGATGGAAACATGTACATTCTTTATTAAATATTTATATATTTTACTAGTAACTTTTTATTTCAGGCCACCAAAAAAATTATCCATTTATGGGGAGTCATTGTAGACATGATCAATGAAAAAATAATGGTGGCTGATTTAGTTCCCTACCAATTTCTGGAGATTTGTTTTTTATTGGTAATAAAATTCTCTTTTATTCATATTGGATATGAACATAAAATGTGAATATGAGCTATTTGTATAATTAAATACAATATGAATATTACAAATGTAAAGTAAGTATATATATTGTCATATACATTTTGTTAGAAATATTTGGTAGTTTGTCCTAGTTGGTACTGAGTTTGTGACTAATTTGCTTCCTGTTTAAAATTTATATGCTCCGGTACTTTTTTTTAACCTGATATTCTTTATTATTTTCTTCCTTTAAGTGTACAAATTATGTCACATTTCATTAACTATTCTTGACTACAAGCCTATACATATATGTGGTCATCAAAAAGTTCATAGAAATTGGGTTTTATGAGAAACTATGCATGGATTTCAAAGTTTTCTGCATCAAATAAATTTGTACTTTAATTCCATTTTTCCATGAACTTTTGAAGTCTTAAAGTGTTACTTTCCTATGGTGGTAAAAATAAAGAGGAAAGAATATTACTATATCCATATAGAAAAGACACTTAATTTTTCTTAGTAGCAAGTATGTTGATGACATACTCATGTTTCAATTTGGTGTTTTAATTATTAAGGCCTAATTTTGTCCCGTATTTACTAAGGCCTTCTTAGAATATGAAAAATTTTTTAAAAATTTTGCCTGTGGAGTTTGCCATTTAACTTAACAACAGTGTTTATTTTTGAGACAGTTTCACAAACTATATATTTCCTCCCCCTTCCATCCATCCTTGGGAATTCTGTTCTTTAAGGAGAAAGAGAGGAGCAGAAAAATTCTGCCTACAGATCCTTTCAAAAAAAAGGGGAAATGGATCTAAGTGAGAATCCTTATATTGCCACAATCCAATGGTTAGTGATGTCTTGATTATCTCCATATTTTAAAGGTAAAGAGATAACATTGAATGTAAGCTTGTGGTTCCATAATGACCTTTTTGTTTTTATATTTGAAGAAATATTCTATAAAGTACAACCCAGGATATGTGTTGGCCAGTCGCCTTGGAGTGAGTGGATACCTTGTTTCAAGGTTTACAGGAAGTATTTTTATTGGAAGAGGATCTAGGAGAAAGTAAGTTTATGTTAGAGAAATTTACTTAAAGTGGCAGAAAAATAAAATGATACTGATTAAATGCTTAATTTTTCAGTATTTATTTTCTCTTATTAATTGCTCTGAATTTTCTTTTAAATTGTACATAAATTCCTCTAATGGTAATCTTTCATCCGAATGGCACATATTTTAGATGGTTGGAAAGACAGTATCCTTAATTCTAGCAGCTAACAAATTGAACCTTGAAAAAAGGTATCGGGGGTGTGTGTGAATCTCAATAATATATTTCCTTGCATTTTGTTATTTCATTTTCTTCTAAAATTATAGTTTATTTACCTGCCTTTTAAACTTGGATTTTGAAGCCTTTTTTCTTTTAGTTTTTTAATTACACTACTTGGGAAATAACTATAATAACTAAAATATAGAAAAACAATTAAGACTTAGCTTTTCTAAGAATTGAAATCAAAATCTTTTGTTGAACAACATTTTTAAATTGTGTGTGTGTGTGTGTGTGTGTGTGTGGTTTAAATTCAGCCCTCATGGAGACCATAAAGCAAATGTGGGTTTAAATCTCAAATTCAACAAAAAAAATGAGGAGGTGCCTGGATATACTAAGAAAGTCGGAAGTGAATGGATGTATTCATCTGCCGCAGAACAACTTCTTGCAGAATATTTAGAGAGGTAAGTGCCTATCAAAGTCCTCGTTACTCAATGTCCCAAAATGTACTATGTCTTTTGCTTTACTGATATCAGTGTTAGAGCACATATATATTCCACAGTAAAGGTGGCATGTGTTACACATAAACTTAATTTTGTGTGATGGAGCATCACGTCCCAACAGTCATTAGCAAAAACAGAGTAGAAAATAATCATACTTCGGGGACCAGCAGTTGGCATGGTAGTTAAGGCGCCGGCTATTCCCACATAGCTGACCACGGTTTGAGTCCCATGGTCTCACTTTCTCTCTCTCTCTCTCTCTCTCTCTCTCTCTACCTCTCTGTGTGTCTCTTTCTGGTCAAATTAGAAATAAAATGAATGAATAAATAAAGTTAAATAATTAATTCTTTTTTTTTAATTTTACTTCTTTTTATATTTTTTGAGAGGTTTTTGCTATAGAGCGTGTGGGCTCGCCAGACAGACAGAGAGAGACAGAGAGACCGAAAGCGAGAAATCACCCCCCAGGGGGGATGGCCACGCCGCAATCCCTTCTCCTCCATTCTCCTCTCGGGATCTTGGGCACCCACACACACGAGCCCGGCGTGAGTTTTAAGCCACCGGGTCCGGGACATAAACAGTGGTCGACTACCTGGGAGTCCAGCAACATAGCCATTATGCTAACTGCTGGTCCCATTAATTCTTTTTTCTTAAAAAAAAATATTTTTATTATCAAAAAGGAAAAGTATGATAAGAATCTGCCTCCTCTTAATTAAAATTTCTTTAACTTGATATCATAAATTATTCACTACTTTTTATTTATGTGTCTGTACTAAGTAGACTAGTATTAATCAACAAAATAGCTCTTGACGTGGTGGATTTTCCTGAATTTTACAACTCCAGCTGAACAGAGGTTACTATCCTAAAATTCTTTACTTTTGTTGTTGAGATGATTTAAAAATTCAAGAGTATCTGTTCTTCATTATAAAAATGAGAAAACTGGGACCAGAAGATAGCATAATGGTTACATCGATGGACTCCTACCTGACTGACCACAGTTTGAGTCCTGGACGTAGGGCTTAAAACTCATGCTGGGGAACCAGCAGGTGGCTTAATGATTACACTGCTGGACCCCCATTTAGTCAACCACGGTTCAAGTCCTGGACCCGGCTGCTTAAACTCACACTAGGCACATGTGCGTTTGTGCCCAAAATCCAAGATGAGAATGGAGGAGAAGGAATTGTGGTGTGGCTATCTTCCCCCCAAGGGATGATTTCTCACTTTCTGTCTGTCTCTCTCTGTGTCTCACATGCGCCCTATAGCAAAAATCTAAACAAACAAACAAACAAAAAAACCCTACCTCATGCCAGGTGAATTATGTGTGCCCAAAATCCCAAGAGGAAAATGGAGGAGAAGGTATTGTGTCATGGCCATATCCCCTTGCGCAGGTGGGCGGGGGTGGTGATTTCTCTCGCTTTCTGTTTCTCTGGTCCATGCATATGCCCTATAGCAAAAGTCTTTCTGAGAAAAACTGAACATCAGGATTCACTGAATTACTTAGTGACAAAGATTTACAGAAAGCATGGTCACTTCAGACTGACAGCTGAATGTTCTACTTTCCCATTGGTTTCTAACCTTAAACTTGAAGATCTCTGTATTACTTTTGTAGACCTCCAGTAACAAAATGTATTAACTGAATGGCTTCAACAACAGAAATTTGTTGTCTCACAGTTCTTGTGTAGTCCAAAATGAAGGCGTCAGGAGGGCCATGGTCTCTCTAAAGGCACTATTAAAACACCTGTCTTCCAGCATCTGTTAGCCTTATGTGGTCGTTGGCTTGTAACATGCTTCACTCCCATCCTCCATCTTCACATAACATTCTCCCTCTATGTCTTCCCTTCATCTTTTATCTGTGTGTATGTCTCTGTCCAGATTTCCTCTGTTCATAAGGATACTAGTCATATTTGGATTAGAGCATATCCTGATCTCATTTTAATTTGGTTGCCTCTATAAAAACCTTATTTATTTACTTATTTTTTTTGAGAGAGATTTTTGCTATGGGTGCATGTTCTCACTGGAGACAGAGAGAGAGACAGAGAGACAAAAAGCGAGAAATTACTCCTCTATTCCCTTCTTGGGATTTTGGGCATGCACTCACACATGTCCAGCATGAGTTTCAGTTGGTGGACCTGGGACTCAAACCGTGTTTGACTACATGGGATTCCAGTGACATAACCATTACACAATCTGCTGGTCCCTCAAAGAACCTAATTTATTTATTTATTTATTTGTTTCTTTTGGAGAGGTTTTTGCTATAAGGGTGCATGTGCTTGCCAGAAAGAAGGACAGAGAGAGACAGAAAGTGAGAAATCATCGTCAAGGGAGGATGGTCACGCCACAGTCCCTTCTCCTTCATTCTCCTCTCAGGATCTTGGGCATGCACGCATACGTGCCCAGTGTGAGTTTAAGCCACTGGGTCCAGGACTTGAACTGTGGTCGACTATATGAGAATCCAGCGATGTAGCCATTACACCATCTGCTGGTCCCCCAAAAACCTTATTTTTAAATAGTCACATTCTATATCTTTTGAAGGGGTCGAGGAGACACAATTCTATCCCACATTACCATCTGAAAATATAGGTAGTTTCTTCTGTTCACTTCCATATATTTTTTGCTATAGGGTGCATGCACTCGCCAAAGACAGACAGACAGAGAAATCACCCCCAGGGGCGATGGCTACACCGTAATCCTCTCTCCTCTCGGGACTCTAGGCACACACACATACTCACCTGGCATGAGTTTAAGCTGCCGGCTCTAGGACTTGAACCATGTTTGACTATGTGTGAGTCCAGTGATATAACCATTATGCCATCTGCTCATCCCCCTACATATTTCTTTAAAAGGTCATATTTAAACTACTTTTTCTTGATTCTTTTTGAGAATTGTGTGTGTGTGTGTGTTTAATAGAGCACTTGCTTCTCTCACCTCCTTACACACATACATATTTACCCTCTCACTAAAGTTTTAGCATAATTTTTGGTTAAATCTGTAAAGGGTTTCTTGGTTTTGTTTTGTTTTGTTTTAGTTTTGCTAAGAGGATCTGGGGAGAGAGAGAGAGAGAGAGGAAAAGTACGAAATTACCCCCCATGGGGGGTGGTCAAACCACTATCCCATCTTCTCCGTTCTCTTCTCAGTATTTTAGACAAGCACACACTCACACCCAGTCTGTTTTTCAAGCCACTGGGTCAGAAACTCAAACTGTGCATTCAGCCCTGTGGGTCCAGTGGCCTTAACCTCTGCACTACCTGCTGGCCTTGTCACTTTTGCTTATGATAAATTCAGTGTTTGTAGCTGGACCTTCTACAGGAATATTATGACTACATTTTCTTTCTTGTACACATTCTTGTTTTCCTTGCTTTTTTCCCATTTGCTTATTATCGTGTTTATGGAACTAATTCAGCCTTAAACTCTGTGTCAGAGCCGTAAAATTCAAGGTGGTAAAACAGATCAGTGATCTCTTAGTTGCATTTTCTTCTTGGAGACTTCATTCTAAGCCGTCTGTCTTCCACTTAGTTTGAATTGGTTGCTCTCTAGAGCTGTTCCACAGCTTTCATTTTGGTGTTTCCCTTTACAGTCCTTTCCTTTTTTAAAAAGGAATAAAGAATTTCCTTTTTTATTCTCTCGAGTATGATTCCTTCATTTCCTGGCTCCTCTACCTTATTTTTTTCTGATTAAGACTCCATTTTGGTGGAACAAATCCTCCAGTAGTCCTCCTGCCTGTCAGATCCTGGGCACTATCTTGTGTACATGTCTTACGTGTTTTGGGCTGACTGAGTGGGGATTCAAACCACAGTCACCATGTGAGACCCAGCTCCTCTTGAGCACAAACAGTACATTAGTGCTGGACCACAGAGCTGGCCCTTTTCTTAAAACTTTTAGAGCACTGCTCCATTCTTATTTCCAGTATTGCTGTCAATAGTCCTATGCCATTCTGATTCCGAATCCTTGTATATGATCTGTTATCACTTTTTGAAATCTTTTTAGACTGTTCCCTTTACCAGCGCTGCTTCTCATGTGATGATGTGTGCCTTGGTATATTGTTGTTTGTTGGTTTTTTCCCTTTCCTTTTGCTGTTCATTCCTTTTAGGTTTGAAACTTATGTCCTTCCATTCTGAGAAATTTTCTTATACTTTTCTTTGATAATTTCCTCCTCACTTTTTTTGTTGTTGTTCTCTCCTTCCAGGACTTGTTAGGTTAGTGTACTTTCTGGATTGATTCTCTTACTTTTCTTATCTACATTTCTACTCTGGGAAATTTGTGCAGCTTTATCCTCTATCACTTTTTCATTTCTACTTAATTTCAATTTGGTAGAAATGTGTCCTTATTTTCGGGCTATTTCTTTTTTTTTTTAATTATTTAACTTTATTTATTTATTTATTTTAAATTATGAGAGGGAGAAAGGAAGCTGCCAGGTCCAGGACTCAAACCATGACCAGCCATGTGGGAGTGTCCAGCACCTTAACCACCACGCCACCTACTGGTCCCTATTTATTTATTTTTAATTAATCATACAGAAAGAGGAAGTGAGAGAGCAAGCCACCAGGTCCAGGACTCGAACCGCAGTTGACTACACGGGAGTTCAGTGACATAGCCATTATGCTAACTGCTGGTCCCTTTAAATGAAATTTATTAAACTTCACCTTACAAGGCAGCCTTCAAATGTAACCAGAGTCCATAATTCCTGACCTCTTGCAGAGTTTAGTGGTCTAAATCAACTTGCTTCCTGTTGCTATCCCTCACTGGTGATTTAGGATTCAGCGTATTCATGTTCGCCAAATCAGTTAACACTCGTCCATCCAGTTTGCACTTTTAAAATTTGTTAAATCACATATGTGATCACATACTCTGCCTTTCTTCATCTGTCTTTCTGGATCTCTGCCCTTTCTTATGCTTCATTGTCATTTTAGTGGATTGGGGAGAGACCAAAGATAAGCATGTGTTCAGTCTTATATGTACGTGGAGTCCTGCGCTATTCAGGAATAGAGTTGTGAGAATTAGCAGAAGAAACTTAATCTGTTCTAATTTGCTATATTGTAGAATGCTCTAACTTTATTGTGAAAACTAAAAAATGAACCCATAGATACTATTTTTGTCCATTTATCTCTTGTCATTATAATCAAAGAAGATAGTAGTAAAATTTTATTGTAAGTTTATGAATGGAACCATTTCTCCTTCAGCCAGTGGACTTTTTCTCGAGGGCCTAGGAATACTCTGGTTTGCACATCTTTTGGTTTGTATTTCTTATTAATACTGTAATAATTGGGGCTAACAAGTGGCGTGGTGGTTAAGGTGCTAGACTTCCACGTGGCCAACCGCAGTTCGAGTCCTGGACCTGGCGGCTTCCTTTCTCATTTTCCTTCTCTTTTACTCTGTCTCTCTCTGGTGAGTGCACCTGCCCTGTGGCAAATTAAATGATAATAATTAAAATTAGACCTATAATTCTTTTTTTAAAATACTGTAATGATCATCCTATACTAAGTGTTTCCTCAAGACTCAAAATTATTTTATAGGAAATTTATGTGAATTTAGCCTTATATTTTTTAAAGCATTGTTTTTGTTTGTTTGTTTGTTTGACTAGAGCTCCAGAACTATTTAGTTATATAGCCAAAAATAGCCAAGAGGATGTATTCTATGAAGATGACATTTGGCCTGGAGAAAATGAGAATGGGTAAGCAAAATTTGTGGTAATTATTGCTTCATAGTTTAAATTAGGATTGCCAGTGAAAGTGGAAGGTGAAGCTGGTTTATCAAGAATTTGTCATTATTACTCTTTTTTCTCCCTTTGGTTTCTTTTATACTATTTAGTTTTACTTTAAGAGCATAATAGAAATTTTATTTCATTTATATCAGTAAATATTTTTAAATTTATTTATTGTGACTTTTTTATATGCTTGATAGGTAACATGTTCCTATTTATATTGTATTTATAATTAGTCCTGTTTTAGATTAATCATTAATTAATTGATAATATAAATTTGATGTCTCGTGTAATTCGCAGCTCTCAGAAAGTTTATATCAAGCATTTTCTATAGGTCCTCGGGAAGTTTATAATCAATGTGAAAAAATTATTGTTATTGCTTTTACTATAGTGCTGAGAAAGTTCAAGAAATTATTACTTGGCTAAAAGGACATCCTGTCAGTACTTTGTCTCGTTCTTCTTGTGATTTACAAATTCTGGATGCAGCTATTGTTGAGAAAATTGAGGAAGAAGTGGAAAAGTGCAAGGTACTAATAACCAAGATTATTGATGAGATTTGAAGTTAAATAATCTAATAATTATTTTACAAATAATCCATTTGTATTTCAACCAAACAAAACATATACTCAGTGATTCTAATGTCAAATAATTATCTTAAGGTCCTATGCTGAGGCGGTGGGAAAGTAACCACACGACTTTCTAACTGCTTCATTTAACTGAAATTCATTAGACTTCACCTGTAACTGGAGTCCATAAACCCTGACCTTTTGCAGAGTTTTATGTACTTCCCATTTCCATTGGCCATTTACCTGAACAAATACAACTATACCTCAATATACAAAACCACACCATTTAAATTTTACCTCCTTTTGGTGTTTCTCTTTTGAGGAATTAATACTTTGTGATTTTAGTCAAATAAAAAGTTTGTGGTTGAGGAATAAGGTTAATTCCCTATTTATCCTTGTCTTTTTTTTTTTTTTAACTTAATTTTGCCAAAGGGCACATGCCGTCTTCTGAGAGAGACAGTGAGAGAAAGAGGGAAAGGGAGAAAATACCTCCCATGAGGAATGATCATGCTGCAGTCCGTTGTCCTCTGTTTCTCCCTGCTGTTGGGATTTGGGGCATGCATGCACACCTACCTGGAGTGTTTTTCAGGCCACCAGGGTCCAGGATTGGAATGGTGCCATCAGCCATATTCAGCTACCTTAACCACCGTGCCATGGGCTGGCCATCTTCTAATTATATTTTGTGGAGATACATTTCATCTTTTTACAGAACATATGAATTTATGACCTGACATTTTAAGGTCACTTTTAAAAACTTCTGTTTAATTGCCAGAAGGCATGTAAGCTCCCAGAGAGAGAGACAAAGAAATAGGGAGAAAGCATCCACCCCAATGGGACATGTTCACATTGCAATCCCTTCTCCTCCATTTCTCCATCCTGCCAGGATTTGGGGCAAACATACTCACACATCCACCATCTAGAGCTAGATTCAAATTGCAATTAGCCAAGTAGGATCCACTAGGCCACAGGCCAGCCTTAAAATGTACTTTTTTACTCAGACCCATTCCGTTATTAAGAGTTTGTTTTTAATCTCAATCTCTCCTTTTTTTTTTTCTTTTCTTTTTTTTTTTTTAAGTTTGCTACATGACATGTGCGTTCACTGGTGAAAGATAAAGGGATAGAAAGAAAAAAATGAGAAAGCTCCCCTCAGGGGATGTGACCACACCAGAGTCCCATCTCTTCCGCTCTCCTCTTTGCATTTTTGGGCATAAACATGCACACACATGTTTTTTTAAGCCATGGGTCCAAGACTCGAACTGCACAGTTGGCCATGTGGGATCTAGCTGCCTTAACCACCATACCATCTGTGGCTGGCTCAGTCTCTTCTACTTTTTTGTATCTTGCTTTGTAAAAGCAATAAACTTCTATAACAGACCATCTATTTTTCTATTTCAAGCCCCTGTATTGGTGCAATAGAAATGGATTGATTATATTGCTTTTTTAAGACTTTTTATTTTTCACAAATTAGCTTCAAAAAAATTTTTTTTTCCCGACAGTGTCTCACTGTTGCCCAGGCTGGCCTTGAACTCAGGATCCTCCTCCCGCAGCCTATTGAGTAGTTGGTGGTTACAGGCATAACTATATTGTCCAGTTTTCTGCCTTTTGCCCTTTTGTTTAAACTAACAGCAGAGTAAGTTAAAAAATGGGCTCTGGTGCCCTCTCCCCTCTAAAGAATTCCACTTTCAATACTTAGGCCCTTTGGCAAATATTTAACCTTTCCACGTCTTCCTTTCCTCATTGGTAAAATGAGAATAAAATAATACCTACCTCATATAGCCATCACAAAGTCCTAATTAATATATGTAAACTCCTAATAATGCCTATTACTTTTTAAATTCTCTTGTCACATACCACTACTAAATGACTCTTTTTCTCTTTAGGAAGAAAATATAAGATTCTTAGACAAGAGGTTTTTTTCTTGTTCTTTTTTTTAACGATAGCAAATGTACATACATGAGGGACAGAGGAGAGAGAAAAAAGCTCCTCTAACAGAGTCTCATCAAGCTATGGTTCCCTTTCCCCAGTCCTCTAGCTCCCGAGATCCTGGGCACCCAGTGTGTTTCCAGGCCAACCTGGGGATCAAACCTGTGGTCAGCCATATGGCTTTTACCTTTCCAGGGTCCTTCTATTACTGCTGTGACACACAGTGCCTGGATCAAGAGTTTGCTTTTTTGAAAGGTCATTGAAAATTCAGCTGAGAATAGAAAGCCTGTATTTCTTTTTCTTTTTCTTTTTCTCTTCTTCTATTTCTTTTCCTTTTTCTCTTCTCCTATTTCTTTTTCTTTTTCTCTTCTTCTATTTCTTTTTCTTTTTCTTCCCTTCCTTTTTCTTAAAATTTGCCAGAGGGTGCCTGCACTCACTGGGGGGAAAGGAGAGAGAGAGAAAGTAAGAAGGCATTCTCCATGGGGAATGGTCATGCTTCAATCTCTCCTCCTCCATTTCTCCCTCCCCTCAGGATTTTGGGCACACACGCACATGCGTCCAACATGTCTTTAAACACACTGGGTCCGGGACTCCAACTGCACAGTCAGTCATGTGGGATCAAACTCACATAACCACCAGGCCACAGACCATTCTCCCCCCGCCCACCCCCCTTTTTTTTAATAAGGAAGAGAACAGAAAGGAGAGAGAGAGAGAGGTATTTTTGATAGTCTCATCATATGATGGCTCTCCTGCCCCAGCTCTCCTTTAGCTAGGACCACAGGTACACCACCATTCCTGGCCTGTTAACCTGGGCCTTCTGTGTCCTCTTTGCCACTGAGCAGTGTCCCCTCCCATTTGTGCCACTGCACCTAGACCTTCTCTATGCTTTTTTCCTTTAAACATGGTATATATTTTCTTCGTTTCCCTATGTATAACTCAAATAGAATAAAAGAACAGTTCGCTGCTTTATCCTTAGCACTTAGATCATCTAATACATGGCAAATAAATGGAACTCAATAAATGTTCAATGAAAGAAGTGAAATGTCTCATGATAAGAAAATAGGCACTATTCAAAGACTTGAGCATTTTATAGTATGTAAATGTGTGAACTCTATGAGATTTGTAGCTTGAGACTATTTTACATCCTTTTGAACTTACTAATACAGTGTCCCCTCCCATTTGTGCCACTTACTAGTATAAGTTCTTTAAAAAATAGGTGGCTCGGGTCCAGCAGGTGGCATGGTGCTTAAAGTGCTGGACACTCCCACTTGGCCAACCATGGTTCGAGTCCTAGACCTGGTGGCTTATTTTCTCACTTTCTCAAGGGGATTGTGGCATGACCAGCTCGTGGTTCTCTCTCTCTGCGTCTCTCTCTCTCTCTCTCTCTCTCTCTCTCTCTCTCGTCAAATTAAAGTACCGAAATGTGAGTTCTTAAAACTAACAGGTAGCATAGGCAGTAGAAAACTCTTCTTCTGGCATTTTTAGATATTGAAAAGATTCAAACTTCAAATCGTACAACAGGTTCCTGAGGCAAGGTCTTTGTAAGATGCGTGACACCTGAATTTTATAAGTAGCCGCAAAACCCACACTGTTGTCTTAGATGAGCAGCTTATACCATTTCTTCCTTTAATACACATTTTTGAGGGCCGTTGAAAATGTTTTTTGACTTAAAAAAGGCATTTAGATAAAATAGCATTTTTAAAATTTATTTTTAAGAGAGATTTTTGGTATAGGGTATATGCACTTGCCAAAGAGACATAGAGAGACAGAAAGCAAGAAATCATCCCCCACAGGGGATGACCACATCATGATTTCTTCTCTTCCATTCTTTTCTCGGGATTTTGGGAATGCACACGCACACACGTGCGCACATACACACACACACCCTGCATAAATTTCAAGCCACCAGGTCTGGGACTCGACTGCAGTCAGCTACGCGTGGGAGTCCAGTAATGTAGTCACTATGCCATCTCCTGGTCCCAGATAGCATTTAAATTAAGTTCAAAGCAGGTTCTCTATTATATTAGAAGTGAGGTTACTTTTGGGCCAGCTGGTGGCATGGCAATTAAGGCCAACTGAGCAATTCAAATCCTAGACCTGGCGACTTGCAAGACATACCAGGTATGTTTGCATGTGTGCCCAAAATCCCAAGAGGAGAATGAAGAAGGGATTGCCATGTGGCCATCCACCCTGGGAGGTAATTTTCACTCCACAACTATCCCTCCTTTAGTAAGCACTTGCACCCTACAGCAAAATTGGAAAACAAACAAACAAACAAACAAACAAGAAGTAAGGTTACTCTGTGGAAGGGTAGTAGCTGGAAAGGAATGGGAAGAGTTTTGTATGTTGGGCTTAGTAATGTTTCTTGAACTGGGTATAGTAATACATGTATATATATTGTAGTAAATCATGGGACTGTATACTTATAATTTTACTTTTTTGTTTTTATTGCCAAAGGAGGGTGTATGCACTCACGGAGGGTGGGAGGGAGAGCAAGAAAGAACTTTCCATTGGGGCATGATCACAACACAGTCCTTTCTTATCCGTTCCTCCTTCCCATCAGGATTTTGGGCGTGCACACACATGTACCCGGTGTGTTTTTCAAGTCACTGGGGACAGGATTCAAACTGCAGTTGGCCATGTGGGATCTGGCTCTCTTAGTCACTGTGGTTTGAAGCAAGCCCTACATTTTTCTGTCTTTCCTATACAAAAAAATATATTTTTAAAAGTATTTAAACAAGGGACCAGCAGGTAGCATAGTGGTTAAGGTTCTGGACTCCCACATGGCTTACCATGGTTTGGGCCCCAGATCCTACATCTTGAAAATTATGTCAGGTATATATGAATGTATGCCCAAAATCCTAAGAAGAAAAGGAATTGTGGTGTGGTCCTCCCTAGGGGATGATTTCTCACTATCCCTCTCTATGTTTCTTTCTGTCTCTTTCTACAGTGAGCACTCACACCCTAAAAAAAATAAAAAAAATAAAAAAAAGGCAAAGAAAAAGCATTGAAACAAGCATTTAGGAGCCAAATAGTGGCTCAGTAGTAAAGCAACTAAACCCATTTGGGAAAGGTCTTGGATTCACATACCAGGACCTCCTAATCTCACCACGTGTGCCCATGATCCAGGCAAGCTGAGACTAGGGAAGGTTGCAACATGAAGACCCTGTTGGAGTGTGCCTGTCTCTCTCACTAAAGAAATAAAGTTTTAAAAGGGGAGTGGGAGATGGGACCAGCAGATGGCGTAATGGTTATATCACTGGACTCCCACATAGTAAACCATGGTTCAAGTCCCGGACCCGGTGGCTTAAAACTCACTCCGAGTGGGGCCAGCAGTTAGCGTAATGGCTATGTCACTGGACTCCCACGTAGCCGACCACAGTTCGAGTCCCAGACCCAGTGGCTTAAACTCACGCTGGGTGCGTGTGAGTGCGTGCCCAAGATCCCGAGAGGAAAATGGAGGAGAAGGGGTTGCGGCATGGCCATTCCCCCCTGGGGGGTGATTACTCACTTTCTGTCTCTCTGTCTCTCTCTGTCTGTCTGGCGAGCGCATGCACCCTGTAGCAAAAACCTCTCCAGAAAAAAAAAAAAAACTAACTCCGAGCATGTGTGAATATGTGCCCAATTCCTGAGAGGATGATATAGGAGAAGGGATTGTGGCGTGGCATCCACCCCACCCCCACACCTAGGGGGGAGGTGATTTCTCACTTTCTGTCCCTCTGGTAACTGCACGAGCCCTATAGCAAAAATCTTTCTTTAAAAAAGGAGGGAGGTAAAAGAACTAGTCTCTTAAGTGATGATGTGACTGGGCCCACATGGGAAAGGTCTTAGGTTTGTGTCCTAAGATCTCCCTGAGCTTGCCAGGCATACTTTAGACCACTGAAACCAGGAGTGGATTGCAGCATGGGGGTCCTGTTGGAGGTGCCTATTTCTGTTTTTCGCTCCCTCTCAGAAGAATTTTTTTTTTTTTAAAGAATTTGGGCTACAGGCATTTTTAAATGTTTACTTTATGCCTCCTTGCTGTAGCTTTAGAATTTTAAATATTTTTAAAATTAAGCATTTTATTTGACTTTTTAAAAGTCAGACATGTTATAGGAGCGAATGATTTTATACTTACATATGTATTTTTTATCATTATATTTGTATATGTCACACACATATAGATGTGATTTTTTTTTTTAAGACAGGGTATTACCATGTCAAGATCCTCCTGCCTCAGGTGGGACTATAGGGGTAAACCAGCAAGCCATGGTCTTAGACAGGGTCTTGCTCTCTCTGTTGCCCAGACTAGCCTCAAACACACAGTCCTCTGGCCTCAGCTTCCCAAGTCACTGTGATTACAGGCACATATCACTGCACTGGTATAATTTTATATTTTGAAAATATCTTTAAATTTTCTTTCCTCAGCAAAGAAAGAGTAATAAGAAGGTACGAGTGACAGTGAAGCCCCATTTGCTGTACAGAGTAAGTTTCCTGTCAAAGAATTCCAAGTTGTTGCTTTTACTTTGAAAATATAGAGGGAAGAAAAATGTTCTCAATATATTAGTAGGAAAATTTTTTTATTAGAACTAATAACATTCTTCTCTTCAGCCTTTAGAACAACAACATGGAGTCATTCCTGATCGGGATGCAGAATTTCGTCTCTTTGACCGTGTTGTAAATGTGAGAGAGAACTTTTCAGTTCCAGTTGGCCTTCGGGGCACCATCATAGGAATTAAAGGGGGTAATAGTTCCATTCTTGACATATCTTCAACTGTTTTTATTTCATAAAGTAAAACATCAATTTTTTTTTTTTTATATATTTAAGTAGGAAATCAAGAAAAAAATCTAAATCCTTTTATGTTCTAGTCTGGGTTTTTTTTTTTTTTAGTTTATACTTTTCAAAGAAAATTTTCCTGTTGTGCCTTGTATAATCTTCTGGGAAGTGGTTAAAAGAAGGGAAAGTGATGGGGCTGGCAGATGATATGGTGGTTAAGGTGCTGGACTCCCACATGGCAGACCATGATTCAAATCCTGGACCTGGCTGCTTGCTTTCTCTCTTTCTTTCTCTCTCATCAAATTGAAGAATAATGATAATAAGTAAAATTAAATGCATAATCCTTTTTCCAAAAAAGAAGGGAAAATGAGAATGCTACAGAGAATTTCGAAGTTTATATGTATCACAAATTATACAAGGTCTTGGTGGTACATATGTTTTCATGAATCTGAAAGAAACTTTTGATCACTTTTCCTTCAACTTTTATCTGACTTTGCTCAGTGCTATACTTTCATTTTCATTGTAATCTTCTGATTTCTGTGAGCAAACAAACATGTTATTTGGAGTTAAGAGACAAAAACTCGGGAACCAGCAGTTAGCGTAATGGCTATGTCGCTGGACTCCCACGTAGTCAACCGCGGTTTGTGTCCCGGACCCGGTGGCTTAGAACTCACGCCGGGCGCGTGTGCGTGCGTGCCCAAGATCCCGAGAGGAGAATGGAGGAGAAGGGATTGCGGCGTGACCATCCCCCCTGGGGGGTGATTTCTCGCTTTCTGTCTCTATGTCTCTCTCTGTCTGGCGAGCACACGCGCCCTACAGTGAAAATCTCTCCAAAAAAAAAAAAGAGACAGAAACTCTGGGCCAGCCAGTGGTATGGTGGTTAAGACAGCTGGATCTCACATGGCAATCCTGAACCTGACAGGAAAACACACCCGGTGTATGTACACGAGTGCCCAAAATCCCTAGAAGAGAATGAAGGAGATGGGGTTGCAGCATGACCATCCCCCTAATAAGGGATCCTTTGTTACTTTCCCTCTATCTCTTTGGCAAGTGTACACCCCTATGGCAAATTGGAAAAAAAAAAAAAGACTTAAAAACTTATGCATGTTGGGACCAGCAGTTGGTTTAATGGCTGTGTTGCTGGACTCCTATGTAGTCAACCACGGTTCGAGTCCCAGACCCACTGGCTTAAACTCACGCCAGGCGTGTGTGCGTGCGTGCCTAGGATCCCGAGAGGAGAATGGAAGAGAAGGGATTGCGGCGTGTCCATCCCCCCTGAGGGGTGATTTCTTGCTTTCTGTCTCTTTGTCTCTCTCTGTCTTTCTGCAAGTGCACACGCCCTATAGCAAAAACCTCTCAAAAAATAAAAACTGATGCATGTTAATATGAATTGTATGAATATAACTAGATTATGTATGTGATACAAACCTATTCATCTATTGCACAAAAAATGTACATATAGTTAGCACTTCTGTATTTTATACCTAAAAGTGCTTGTCATGCTAAATTTATAATTTTATTTGGCTTGGCAATCTTTAAGCATGGTGATCATTGCTTTAAATATTATCTATAATCTTTGCAGCAACCTTGCTAGGTAACTATCATTATCTCAATCTTATAGCGTGCTATTTCTTTTAATTTTTAAAAAATTGTCTAATTTGCCAAAGAGAGATACAGAGAGAGGGAAGAGAAAGCATCTCCCCAAAGGAACAAAGTCACACCTTAATCCTTGCATTTCTCCACTCTGTTTGGATTTTGGAAAGACACACACACTCAGTGTGGTTCTCAGGGCCCCAGGGCTGAGACTCAGACTGCATAGTTGACCATGTGAGATCAAGACACTTTAACCACTGGAGTTGGCCCAATTTTATATTGTTGTTTTTGTTTTATTTTTTACCACAGTGAAAAAAAAAAAAAAATGAGAGGGGAGAGAAAAAGGAAAAAGCAGCTAAGGATCCAAGTGCCCTAAAGAGATGTGTGAAGTGAGCAATTTTACATTATATATTCTAAAAAAATTTAGCTACTGCATGACACAGTAAGTCAGGCACCCAGGAGTCAGGGTGCTGGAACACTGTTCCTCCACGTCACAAGTGCTCAACCTCTTAGTCTCACCACCCTGAAAAGAGGAAGAACGGAAGCAGAAAGAACAGGCAAGCCACTACCTTAAGAGAACTACATGTTTAACTGCCAGCAATGTGCCAGGCACTTAGATATTTTGCAATTAACCTTCATGACCATATGTGAGGTGGGTGTATTTCCTCATCTGAGAGGTTAAGTGACTTGCCTGTGTTCACATTGATAATGGCAGAGCTAGGGTTTGAACTCCCTCCTGATTCCTACCGAAATTTGAGCAGAGATTCTCTGTATTTTCCATTTGCAGATCCTCTTCAAATCTTCTCTGCCTGCCTTCCTCTAAAAGAGAATTTTCTCTGGTTCTTTTTTTAAAAATTGTTAGATAGGTTACCAACTATGAGAAATGGAGAAAGGGGAGTTAGGCTCTGGGCAAGGTATAGTAAAGGCCAGGAGAGTGTAATGAAGCAGACAGCCTGCTGCTATCAGCTCATCTCCTGCATCTGTTGGGCAAATGCTGAGTTTATTGATTATACTCTGTAGGTTGCACTGATAAAGCCTTAAGACTCAAACTTTAAAAGTCACCTCTCAGGGCCAGCAGGTAGCATGGTGGTTAAGGTGCTAGACTTCCATGTCACCAACCATGGTTCAAGTCCTGAACCTGATGGCTTGAAACTCACACTGGACATGTGTGCATGCATGCCTAAAATCCCAAGAGGAAAATGAAGGAGAAGGGATTGTGGCATAACCATCCCCCCTGAGGGGTGATTTCTTGCTTTCTGTCATAGACGAGCACACCTGCCCTATAGCAAAATCCTAAAAAAAAAAAAAAAAAAAAATCCCTCTCTTTTGACAACTAATACCAGTAATAGCAGCCGCTTGGAATCTTGTAGTTTAAGGCTTTATCTATACTGAGTGGAAGTAGAAGGAGCTCTGTCATTGATAAAGCGAATGTCCATAGATATGGTATGGAAAGAAGAGTATTTGTCCCTTCTACTCTTAGCTGCGGCCTCATCACCAATGAGGTGTTCCTTAAAGGGTATGTAGAGTTCCATTACCAATAATCTTTGAGGAAGTAGCCCTCCCCAGACAGATAAGAACCTAGAATGTGTGCCTTAAGACTTCAGAGGAGAAATCCTTGCCTCTCACTGAGCCTCACTTATTTGGGTTTGAGTTTTAGATAAAAGTGTCATACTAAACAGTACAGGTAGTAGAGAATGGAATCACTCCACAGGCCTGCTTTCAACCGGGCACTGAGTGACCACGAGGGGAGACAGCCCCTCACCCCCACCTATTAAATTGACCCATTTTGTTTTAAATAAATATATCTAAAACGGAAATAGTATATCACTACTATAAATGGAAAATGAGTATCACTTCCATAAGTAGAAGGTCATTTTAAAAATAAATTTGATGACAACAAAAGTATAATTAATTTTTAGTTGAATTCTGGTCCTGTTCTCTTTTATTACAAATAAGTGTTAGAAAAGTGTCATAGACAGGCAGGGTGGGGAGCAAAGTGAGAAAGCACCCCCCCCCCCATGGAGAAAGGCCACTCTGCAATCCCTTTTCCTTTTCTCCCCTTGGAATTTTTGGGGCATTTATGCACATGCATCCATGTACCTGACATGTGTCTCAAGCTGCTGGTTCTGAGATGCAAACTGCACAGTTAGTCATGTGGGATCCAGACACCTTAACCACCAAGCCACCTGCAAGCTCAGCCCAAATGGAGCAAAATAGCTGAAGATATATGTGCGGCACAAACACATGAAGCAATTTTCAATGTCATTGCTCATTGGAAAGATACAAATTTAAACAACAATGAAATTTTTTAAGTTTATATAGTTATCATTATTATTTTTTAAATTTTCTCTAAGTACGTGTGCTCATTGGAGAGAGACAACTAGTGAGAGAGAGAAAGAGAAAGTGAGAAAGTGAGCCACCAGGTCCAGGACTTGAGTCATGGTTGACTATGTGGGAGCCCAGCACCTTATCCACCCTGCCACCTGCTGACCCCAGCAATTAGAACGACTTAAAAAGAATGATTAACTATACTAAGTATTGGCAATGATGTGGAGCAACAAGAATGCTCCTACATTCCCAATGGAAATGTTAAATAATAAAAACCACTTTGGAGAATAGTTTCATGAAAAACTAAACATATATCCACCATAGTGTCCAACCATTGCATTCTTAGGTGTTTACCCAAGAGAAATGAAGGTTTAAATCCACCAAAGCCTTGTTGATGAATCTTCATAGCAGCTTTATCTTTTATACCCAAAAACTGAAAATAATCCAAATGCCCACAACAGGTGAATAGATAAACAGATTATTAGATATCTATCCAATGGACTATTTCTCAGCAATAAAAGAAGAAGAAAAGAAGGCCAGCAGGTGGCGTGGAGGTTAGGCAGCTGGATCACACATAGCTGACTGCACAGTTCAAGTCCTGGACCTGGCAGCTTGCAAATCATGCCAGGCACGTGTGTGTGTCCAAAATCCTGTAAGGAGACTGGAGGAGAGGGAATTGCAATGTAGCCATCCACCTGTAGGGTAATTTCTCACTCTCTTCCCTGCTCCCCCATCTCTCTGGTGAGCAGATGTATGCTGTAATAAAAACTAAAAAAAGAAAAAATATTGATATACACAACATGAATGATTCTCAGAATTACATTGAGAGAAGCCAGGCAAAAAAGAAATATATATATATGGTATGATTTCATTTATATAAAATATTAGACCTGCAAGATCATCTATAGTTTGCTATAACTATATTTATTTTAGTGGATGCTTGGATTATAAAAAGACCCAAGAGACTTTTAGGAGTGATTATCTTATTTGGAATGGCTTAATGGTTAGTTATATATGTTAAAATTTATTAAATTGTATAATTTAAATACATGCAATTTATCATGTATCAATTATACCTCAGTAAAACTGTTTTTTCCCTTAGATCCAGCAGGTTTTTTTATGCCCTGTGGAAATATTCACTGACATAAAGGACATATATGTGTGATGTTCATGGTAACATTGTTTAAAATAGCAAAAGTTAGAAATGACCTAAATGGGGGACCAGCAGTTAGCATAATGGCTATGTCGCTGAACTCCCATGTACTCAACTGCGGTTCGAGTCCTGGACCCAGTGGCTTAAACTCACACTGGGTGCGTGTGCGTGCATGCCCAAGATCCCGAGAGGAGAATGGAGGAGAAGGGATTGCAGTGTGGCCATCCCCCCCGGGGGGTGATTTCTTGCTTTCTATCTCTCTGTCTCTCTCTGTCTTTCTGGTGAGCACATGTACTATAGCAAAAAAAACTCTCAAAAAAAAAAAAAAAAAGAAAAAAGAAAGAATCAACCTAAATATTCATCAGGAAGAGCATAGTTAAGTTATGCTCTATCCATTGATAGATACCATACATCCAGAAAACAGAATGAATATATACTCTCATGGGTAAAGCTCACAAATATGTTGAAACAAAAATAAGTTGCAAAAGAATATATCGTTTTTTAACAGGGGTCCCTAACCCCTGGTACCGGGCTGTGGCCTGTTAGGAACCAGGTTGCCTGGCAGAAGGTGAGCTGCAGTCAAGCAAGCAAAGGTTCATTTGTGTTTACAGCTGCTCCCCATCACGCACATTGCCTCCTGAGCTCCACCTCCTGTCAGATCAGCAGCAGCATTAGATTCTCACAGGAGCATAAACCTCATTGTGAACTGTACACGCCAGGGATCTAGGTCACGTGCCCTCATAAACCGTCCCCCGCAAAAAAATTGTCTTCCATGAAACCAGTCCCTGGTACTAAAAAGTTTGGGAACTGCTGGCCTACAATATCATGCATGTAATATGTTAAACTTGCCAAACAATACTATTTATTATTTATAGATAAGTACATAATGTAGTAAAACTACAAAGAAATACATAGGAATCGTAACTGCAAAATTGAAGATAATGATTACCTACTTCAGAATTATGGTACAGTGACAGTGATCTTCTAAGGCACTGGTATTCTGTTTCTTAGCTTATATGATGTTCATTGTATTATTATTATGCCATGCTTTGTCTCCAGAATATTACACAGATTCTAAAAATAAATGTCTCTGAGAACTACAAAACCTCACCTGCTGATTGTCTCTCTCTTTTTTAACAGCTAACAGAGAAGCTGATGTACTATTTGAAGTATTATTTGACGAAGAATTTCCTGGAGGCTTAACAATAAGGTTTGTGTTTCCACATGATAATTGCACTTTGTAAATATGTCCACGGTCCAGTGACTTTTACATCACTTATATTTGTCCACAAACAGAAATTCACAGTATGTACAAGACATTATACTTGCTACTAACAGTGAATAAGGCAGACATGATTTCTATCTTTCATTTTAGTAGGGGAGACAAACAACTGTTACAATAGTTTTATTAATGGCTGTGACCTGTTCTGAGAGTCCCAGAAAAACCTCCTTGAAGAAGTGATATTTAATATGGGAGATGAATAATCAACAGTTTACTGGGAGTAGAGGAAAGAAACATGAGTTACTCAGGCAAAGAGAAAAAATGTAACAGAGCACATTTATGATTTAATAACCTGAGAAATAGAACCATCTTTTGTATTAATGACATATAAGTCTTTGGAATCTATTTTAGTGGAGCGGTGGGTCCTCAGTCTAGCTTAGGTTGGTTGGAGGAGTGAATGGCAGGTATAGTACTGAAGTCAGGAAATTGAGATCACCTTTGAGAATTTCTCTTTGAAGGGAAGAACAAAGATAACTGGAGGTTAGGAGGTTTAAATGAAGAAGTTAATGTGGGTGATACTTGAGAATATTTTTAGGAAGCTCTAAATACATTTAAAGTTACAGGAGAGGAATCATGATAGAATGACAGGCACTATGATGTATTTAAAAATGTGAACTCTTTGACTTAAACTTTGTGTTATGTTGGGTAGGTTAGTTAAAAGCATTGCCCCTTAATTTCCTCATGTATAATGAAGACATATAAACAGTTCCCAACTTACAGTTTAATTTACAGTTGTGTGAAAGCAGTACACAATCACTCCTAGGAGGTGATCTCCTACTTCCTCTCTCTCCCTCTCTCACTTTCTGGTAAGTGCACACACATTATAGTAAAAACAAAACAAAGGATGCAAGGTTTTTACGGTTGAATAAGCACATATAGGGACCAGCAGTTAGCGTAATGGCTATGTTGCTGGACTCCCATGTAGTCAACTGCAGTTCGAGTCCCGGACCTAGTGGCTTAAATTCATGCCGGGTGTGTGTGCATGCGTGCCCAAGATCCTGAGAGGAGAAGGGAGGAGAAGGGATTAGGGCGTGCCCATCCCCCCTGGGAGGTGATTTCTCACTTTCTGTCTCTCTGTCTTCCTGGTGAGTGCACGTGCCCTATAGCAAAAACCTCTCTTAAAAAAAAAAATAAATAAATAAATAAGCACATATACACATGCTCTAGAATAGGGTTGCTTTGCTTTTTATTTTTCTTCAGTAAACACCGAATAGTCTATTAAGAAACTTTTTAGGGACCAGCAAATGGTAATAGTTACATCACTGGGCTCCCATGTAATCAACCATGGTTCGAGTCCTGGATCTGGCAGCTTAAAATTCATACTGGGCATGTATATGTGTGTACTCAAAATCCCAAGAGGAGATTGCAGAGGAGAAGGAATTGTGGTGTGGCCTTCTCCACTGGGGGGCGATTTCTCACTTTCTGTCTCTTTTTCCCTCTAATGAACACATCATGTACCCTATTAGCAAAAATCTCTCTCATTAAAAAAAAAAAAACTGTTTAGAAATGTCTCATTTGTAAATTGAGATTTTTCTATGATTTCAAGTTCCTCTACTGAATTTAAATGTAGTGTTTATTCATTCTGATGATGACTTGTCTACTCCAAAATTATTAAAATAGTATCCCAGCATATTTAGTGTTATATCCCTCTGACCATGATACGACTTTCTATTTTTAGGTGCTCACCTGGTAGAGGTTATCGACTGCCAACAAGTGCCTTGGTGAACCTTTCTCATGGGAGTCGCTCTGAAACTGGAAATCAGAAGTTGACAGCCATTGTGAAACCACAGCCAGCCGTGAATCACTGTAGCTCAAGTTCATCAGTTTCTTCTGGTCATGTGAGAGGCCTCAACCATTCTCCTCAGTCACTTTTTGTTCCTACTCAAGTAAGACTTTCAGTCTTTAATTTCTCTCCACTGCCTTTACAAATCACAAATCATGGCTGACTTTTAAAATGCAAATCTGATTAAACTTAGTTTTTCAAACTTTTTTTAAAAATTTGCTATAGGCGGTACCAGCAGTTAGCGTAATGGCTATGTCGCTGGACTCCCATGTAGTCGACTGCAGTTCGCGTCCCGGACCCGGTGGCTTAAAACTCATGCCAGGCGCGTGTGCGTGCGTGCCCAAAATTCTGAGAGGAGAATGGAGGAGAAGGGATTGCGGCGTGGTCATCCCCCCTGGGGGGTGATTTCTCACTTTCTGTCTTTCTGTCTCTGTCTGTCTGGTGAGCGCACGCGCCCTATAGCAAAAACCTCTAAAAAAAAAAAATTGCTATAGGGCATGTGTGCTCACCAGAGATAAAATGAAAAAGCACCCCAAAGGGTGCCATCCCACAATTCCTTCTCCTCTTGGAATTTTGGACAAGCACATGTACCCAGAGTGTTTTTCAAACCAACGAGTTCAGGATTGGAAACACTAAGTTGGCCGTGTGGGATGTAGACACCTTAACCACATGCTGGCCCAATTTAGTTTGTCCTTTGTATTTAAAAAGTTCTGATTTGGAGCCAGCAGATGGTGTACTGGTTAAGGCACTGGACTCTCACATGGCCAACCGTGGTTTGAGTCGTAGACTTAGTGGCTTGAAACTCACACCAGGCATTTGTGCATGCGTGCCCAAAATCCTGAGAGGAAAATGGAGGAGAAGGAATTGCAGCATGGCCATTTCCCCTGAGGGATGACTTCTCTCTTTCTCTGCATCTCTGGCAAGCACACATCCCCTATAGCAAAAATCTCTCTAGAAACCAGCAGTTGGCGTAATGGCTATGTCTCTGAACTCCCATGTAGTAGACCACGGTTTGAGTTCCGGGCCCAGTGGCTTAAACTCACGTCTGGCACGTGTGCATGCGTGTCCAAGATCCTATGAGGAGATGGAGGAGAAGAGATTCCAGTGTGGCCATCCTCCCTGGGGGGTAACTTCTCGCTTTCTGTCTCTCTGTCTTTCTGGTGAGCACATGCGTCCTATAGCAAAAACCTCTCCAAATAAATAAATAAATAAATAGGGAAATTCAGATTCGCGTCAGTTTGATTTAAGACAGTAAACTGGTATTTATTTTTTAAGTTTTTCTTTATTTAACCTTATTTATTATCATCATTTTTTAATTTGACCAGAGAGAAACAGAATAAGAGAAAGGGAAAGTGAAAAAGCAAGCCATCAGGTCCGGAACTAGAACCATGGCTGGCCATGTGGGAATCCAGTTCCTTTACCACCACTCCACCCAAGAATTCTATTTATTGTGTTCTAGTTGTTACAAATTTATAAGTACATTAAAGAAATGCATTTGTTTAATTGAGTTTGAGAATATCCATGGTTCTCTTTATACATTTACTTTTCAAAGTAACATTTAAAAATTTTTTATATAATCCAAATGTCCTATAATACTGTCTGCTGGGAATGATATATATTTGAAAAATAAAAGGGAGGGTACTATATCATATTTATCAAATCAATCTTCAAGTTCCCTCCATGTAGTTCTTAGGTGATTTATTTTTATCTTTTTGGGAACAAAAATTGAGTTACTTTGTGTAAAACACCTTACTCTATAACTACAAATCTATTAAAGCACAGTTTTTCACTTTTCTTTTTTAAATACTAGAGGATACTTGTACACATTCAAAAGATAGCACAGGGACCAGCAGTTAGCGTAATGGCTATGTTGCTGGACTCCCACATATTCAACCGTGGTTCAAGTCCCGGACCTGGTGGCTTAAACTCACGTCAGGCACATGTGCGTGCATGCCCAAGATCCCGAGAGGAGAATGGCGGAGAAGGGATTGTGGCGTGGCCATCCCCTCTGGGGGGTGATTTCTCGCTTTCTATCTCTCTGTCTGTCTGGCAAGCGGCACACGCCCTATAGCAAAAACCTCTCCAAAAAAAAAAACACAGAGAAGAGAAAAAGGAAGCACCCAACAGAGCCTGGTTGTGCCACAATCCTTTCTCCTCTGTCTTTCCATCCTGTTAGGATCCAGGGCTTGTACATGTGTGTGCATGCCTGTGGCATGTTTTTCGAACTGCTAAGACTAGAACTCAAATTCTGGCCAGATATGTGACCATAAATTATCCAGCTTCTTTTCCACAGTGCTTAAGCACTATGCTATGGGGCCAGCCCATTAGCCTCATTTTTGACCAGATAATACATGTTTATTGGAAAACAAAATTGGAAAATACAGGTAAGTAAATGATTACAAAGAAAACACAAGCAAAAATTATCTTATTAGACTTTATAAGTAACTACTGTTAGATTTTTTTTTCAGAATTCTAATCTGTATTAGATCAATTTCCAAAAGTAATAGCTGATAATTTTTTTATATGGAGATGGGATACCATTGTTTATTTACTTAATTGGTAATTTTTTTTCCCTTTTTTAATTTAAATTTATTTACATTCACTGACTATACATCATTATAGCATACAAAATGAGATTTTCCATCCAGAATACACTGTATATTGGTTCAGTCAAGCACATCAGCATACGTGTTATCTTAAATGAATAATTTTCCATTTCCTGTTTCCTGTATATTTTGCTTTTTTGCCCATCCTTGATTCCATATCTCTCACCCTCTGTCATCTCCCACCCTCTTCCCACACTGTTGCTGATATCCATGGTTGCTTTCTATTACCTTTTTGTCCTACATTTTATTGATTCACTAAAGATCTCAATTAATCTAAACATTTTGATAACTGATATATACATATCCATGAACACAAGTCTGACTTTAGGCATAAACCTCAGTGAGTAGAATGAACATACTGTAAAGTAGCACCTAGCTGGGACTATATAGCTTACTGCAGTCATCAAATAGATATTTTTTAATGCTTTTTTTTTTTTTGTCAAGAAAAACAGATTTTATGGGTTTTTTTTCTGAAACATTTTTTTAATTAATTTACTTTCATTCTCTAAGCATTATTAAAGCATACAAAATGTGATTTCCCATCCAGAATATACTGTATAGTGGTTTAATCATGCATGTTATCATCAATAATTTTCCATTTCTAGTTTCATATATATATATATTTTTTACCCCTATTTCTGACCCTCTGCCCTTTCCCACCCTCTTCTCACACTATCTCTGTTGTCTATAGTTGTCTTCCATTCCTTCCCACCCCATTTTATTCATCACACAATTTCTTAAATAATCTAACTACTTTCAATAGCAAGTTCAGCTGGTAATTTCAAGAAAAGCAGTTTTGGGACCAGCAGTTAGCATAATGGCTATGTCGCTGGACTCCCATGTAGTCAACTGCGATTCGAGTCCCGGACCCAGTGGCTTAAACTCACACCGGGCACATGTGCGTGCGTGCCCAAGATCCCGAAAGGAGAATGGAGGAGAAGGGATTGCAGCATGGCCATCCACCCGGGGGATGATTTCTTGCTTTCTTTCTCTCTATCTCTCTCACTGTCTTTCCAGAGAGCACATCCACCCTATAGCAAAAACCTCTCCAAAACAAAAGCAGTTTTAACTTTAATAAATCAAAGAAATGCTAAGGAACTTTGCTTGAAACTTAAAGCCAGGAAACAGGTTAGAATTCTGTTCAAATAGTAGGTACATGAACCTATCAACAGCTGAAGACAGGACAAAAATCTTTAAAACTTGACAAAAAAGCCTAGAAGAAAATCAGCAATATTTTAGTCAAAAGTCATAAAATGCTATTTCACCAGTTCAGTCTCATGTACTTAATTTTGACTTCTTGTATTAATAGCCTTCATCTCTTTACAGGTCCATTTGATTCTTTTGTAAAGTATGTAATTCCTCTTTTAGATCTTGCAAGAATTTCCTCACCTCCTGGAATTCATCATCTCCCTTCTCCTTTCTCCTCTGCAGTTCATTGTCTCTCTTTTCTTCCATTTCTGTTAGCTTCGCCATTATGAATATTCTAAATTCTTTATCAGACATTTCCATGATTTCCATTGAACTGTCTGTGGATGAAGAGGAGTTATCCTTTTCCCTTGGAAGAGAAATATTTTCTTGCTTTCCCATATTTCTTGTGGCCCTACAGTGATTTCTAGTCATCTGATGGATGGTGTGTTTCTTCCTAAACTTGAAGTTCAATCTGAGTGTTCAGGAGCGTGCAGAAAGAGGTGATCTGGAATCTCTTTGCCGTTCCATTTTGATCCCTTTGCACAGCAGATTCAGTAGATGTTGAGGAATATGTTAACCCTAATAATATTTGGCTGTTTCACTATAATTCCTTTAGATCTGTCTAGAAACACAGTAAATGGAGATTAAAGAGCAGAGACATGAGAAAAAAGAAAAAGAAAAGGAAACTGAGAGAGAGAGGGGAAAACAACAACCAAGAAACAGAAAAAAAAAAAACTAAAATTTTTTTTTAAAACATAGAAAACTTCACCTTAAAAAATTTTAAAAAGGAAAAATTACCAAAAAATGCGAAGACAGAGACAGAAGGCTTGAGGGAGCTCCTACCACTCGTTTGTGGGCTGGAGGCTGAATTATCAGTAGAAAATCTTCATTTATTTTTTTCCCTGAAATCATTAGTTCTGAGGAGCCATGAAGGTGTCTTCTTCTGAAGGCCTGTCCCTTGCCTCTCTTAATCGGCAAATATTTTTAAAAGCCTGGGGACGAGCAGATGGTGTAATGGTTACATCACTGGACTCCCACGTAGTCGACTACAGTTCAAGTCCTGGACTTGGTGTCTCAACACTCATGCCAGGCATGTGTGCATGTGTGCCCAAAATCCCAAGAGGAGAAAGAAAGAGAAGGGATTGCAGTGTGGCCATCCCCCAAGGGGTGATTTTTCACTTTCTGTCGCTCTCTCTGTCTGTCTCTCTGGTGAGCACACACACCCTATAGGAAAAATCTCTCTTAAAAATAGTGAACTAGAGGCCAGCACATGGAATGGTGGTTAAGGGTGCTGGATTCCCACATGGTCAGCTGTGGTTCAGTCCTGGACCTGGCGGCTTGCTTTCTCACTTTCCCTCCCTCTTTCACTCTGTCCCTCTCTGGTGAAATTAAAATAGATAAATGAAGTTTAAAAAAAAAATCTTTAAAAAATTTAATTAAATAGATACATAAATGAAAAGCTTAACATGAAATGCTAAGTGTAGTAATAGCTGATTTTTTCAAATTTATTAGGTTATTTCTGTGTAAGAGGAGTGTTTTTAAAATAGAATCTTTAGTGTATTAACAGGCAGGAAAATCAATTGGTGGGATATCGACTTGGTATAACTTTTCACAAGGTTTACTGTACTTTAAATACTTTTCAGTAAAAGCATTCAAAACCAGGTATGTATGAAGAAGACCAGTTTCACTCCAGTAGAATACTTTTGTGATTTTTATGCTTAACTCTAGATAAAAAAAAGAACTGGGAGGGGACCAGCAGTTAGTGTAATGCCTTTGTTACTGGACTCCCATGTAGTTGACCGCAGTTCGAGTCCTGGATCCGGTGGCTTAAACTCACGCTGGGTGTGTGAGTGCATGTATGCCCAAGATCCCGAGAGGAGAATGGAGGAGAAGGGATGGCGGCGTGACCATCCCCCCTGGGGGGTGATTTCTCGCTCTCTGTCTCTCTGTCTCTCTCTGTCTTTCTGGTAAGCACGTGCATCCTATAGCAAAAATCTCTCTCAAAAAAAAGAAAAGAAACTGAGAGATTTTGGATAATGCAAGTGGGTTAGCTATCCTGTCTACAACTAAGTAAATTACTACTGATTTTAATATGAATTATTTTAAATTATTTTATTTTCAATGTGAATTTTTATTCTTCATTTTTCATTTTGTTAAGTAACTGTTTGTGTTTTACTAGGTACCTTCTAAGGATGATGATGAATTTTGCAACATTTGGCAATCCTTACAGGAATCTGGAAAGATTCAACACTTTCAGCCAACTATACAAGAGAAGGTTAGTATTCCTTGTTTGATGGACAATTAAAGGAAAAAAAAATTTTATTTTTCTTTTTCTTGAGAGGTTTTCACTATAGGGCACGTGTGCTCGCCAGACAGAGAGAGACATAGAGACAGAAAGCGAGAAATCATCCCCCAGGGGGGATGGTCACGCCACAATCCCTTCTCCACCATTCTCCTCTCAGGATCTTGGGCAAGCACGCACACGCACCCAGCGTGAGTTTTATTTAAGCCACCAGGTCCAGGATGCGAACCACGGTCGACTATGTAGGAGTCCAGCGACATAGCCATTATGCTAACTGCTGGTTCCCAAAATTTTATATTTTAAAATATACAGTGCTTCCTTTTACCTGAAATATCATAAAATAGAAAATAGCAGTTTTGATCATTAATTTTCATAATTCTTTTCAAACATATAAAAATTTTGATCCAGTGAATGCAAGAGTATAGATAACCTCTCTAAATCAGTTTTTTTAAGAATTATTTTATTTAACTTTATTATTATCATTATCATTATTATTATTTTAATTTATCCAGAGAGAGAGAAAGTGAGAAGGCAAGCCACCAGGTCCAAGACCCGAATCATAGTCAGCTATGTGGGAGTCCAGCACCCTTAACCACCATGCCACTGCCGGCCTCTGGGGGTTTTTTAGTTTCCTACTAAATCATGACATCTATGTGGTGATTTGAAAAAGTGTGTGGAAAAATGGAGACCAGCAGTTAGCGTAATGGCTATGTAACTGAACTCCCAGGTAGCCGACTGCGTTTCGAGTCCTGGACCTGGTGGCTTAAATTCACACCAGGCGTGTGTGAGTGCGTGCCCAGGATCCCGAGAGGAGGATGGAGGAGAGGGGATTGCGGTATGGTCATCCCCTGCGGGGGATGATTTCTTGCTTTCTGTCTGTCTTTCCGGCAAGCGCACATACCCTATAGCTAAAACCTCTCCAGGAAAAGAAAAAAAAAAACAAAAGTTTGTGGAAAATTGGAATTCAAGGAGCCGGCAGGTGGAGTGTGGTTAAAGCACTGGACTCCCACGTGGCTAATCTCAGTTCGTGTCCTGGACCTGGCAGCTTGCTCTCTACACACTCTCTCTTTCTGTCTCTCTCATGAGTGTATGTGCCCTATAGCAAACTAAAATAATAATAATAATAACAATAATAAATAAGATTAAATAAATAATTTCTTTTAAATGGAATTCAGAGTATAAATTTAGGTGGTAGAAACTGGACCCACATAGGGAAGGTCTCAAGTTCACATCACAAGACCTCTCCAAGCATGCCCATGATTAGGGTCAGCTGAGACTGGTGGCAGATCATGATGTAAGGACGTTGCTAGGGTTATCTGTCTCTGTCTATATCTCTCTTGTTTTCTCTATTTCTGTCATGGAAATGAGTAAGTACATTCTAAGTACAAAGTCTACTTGCTGCAAAAAAAAAAAAATGAAAATCTAACCATAGTTTCTGTAATACACATTTTCCATGAATTTTTTTTGAATACCTTACTCATTCTGAATTCAACAAAGGCCTTAATGGAATTGAATTAAGTTATTTTTTTCCCACTCAAATGTTTAAGTATCTGCTGACTGCTGGTTGTCTCTGATATAGAAGCCACTTCACAGTTTTTGATAGACTTTAAGAAGAGGAAAGAAACACTGTTTCTTACAGCAGATGGTGTAATGCTTTTGTCACTGGACTGCTACATGGCTGACCACAGTTTGAGTCCCGAACCTAGTGGCATGAAACTCAGCTGGGCACAAGTATGTGTGTGCCCAAAATCCCAAAAGAAGGGACTGCGGTATAGTCATCCTCCCAGGGGGTGATTTCTCACTTTCTGTTTCTCTGGTGAGCGTATCATGGTGCCCCATAGGGAAAAAAAAAAAAAGGTAGAGACCTGGGGCCGGCAGGTAATGTGGTTAAGGTGCTCTTCTCCCACATGGCCAGCTGCAGTTCAAATTCCAGACCTGGTGGCTTGCTCTCTCTTTCTCTCTCTCTCTCTATCTCTCTCTGTCTCTCTCGAGTGCACATTCCATGTAGCAAATTAAAATAAGAATAGTAAATAAAATTAAGTAAAAAGGTTTTTTTGTTTGTTTTTTATTTTTGTTTCGTTTTGCTTTTTGGAGAGGGTTTTTTTGCTATAGGGCACATGCACTCGCCAGAAAGACAGAGACACAGAGAGACAGAAAGCGAGAAATCACCTCCCCAAGGGGGATGGCCACACTGCAGTCCCTTCTTCTCCATTCTCCTCTCAGAATCTTGGGCATGCATGCACACACATACGGCGTAAGTTTAAGCTACTGGGTCCGGGACTCGTACCGTGGTCGACTACATGGGAGTTCAGTGACATAGCCACTATGCCAACTGCTGATCCCAAATGTTACTTTTTAAAATAGTTATTTTATTTACTTTTAATAATAAAATAACTATCACCATCCACCCTGGGCGTGATTTCTCACATTCTGCCTCTCTGTCTCTCTGTTTTTCTGGCAAGCACACGCATCCTACAGCAAAAAAAAAAAAAAAAAAAAAGGGATCATTCTGCCTACTCTCTAGAGAATAGATTATAGAGGAACCAAAGGAGAAACAGATTAGTTGGGAGACTACTGTAATCAATAAAGTGAGAGTTAAAATTAATTTAGAGCAGGGGGTAGTAGAGCCTAAGAGAATTGATTCAGTTATACACGTGTAAGTTTTCACCTGCTGAGTTAGATATAGATGTAAGGAGGAAAGGAAAGAGTAAAAGAGATGACTCTTAAAGTCCGAATTAAACGGTCTAAGTGGCTGTTATTGAAATAGAAATGATTTCAAGCCAAATAGATTTGTGGGGGAACATCAACAGTTCAATTTTTGAGGCCGGCATGTGGTGTAGTTATTAAGGCGCTGGATTTCTACATGACTAACCGTGGTTCGATTCCCAGACCCAGTGCCTTGAAAATTACAACAAATAAACAGATAAATAAATAAATACATACATACATACATACATACATAAAAAGGGGGTAGGGGTCAATGTCGGACTTTGTAAGTTTAAGATATGTATTATATATTCAAGTAGAAATATAATAGAGATGGACATTGGCTCTGAAGTTCATGGAGGGGAGCCGGGAGCCAGCATGTGGTATGGTGGCTGGTATGCTGGACTCCCACATGACCAACCACAGTTCGAGTCCCAGACTTAGCTGTTTGTTTTCTCACTTTCCTTATCTCTCCGTCTTTCTGGTAAGCATATGTGCCCTATAGCAAATTAAAAATAAGTACCACAAGTAGAACTAAATAAATAATTTTTAAAGAATTATTTAATTTTATTCATTGTCATCATTTCATGGAAGTTTGCCAGAGAGAGACAGAGAGAAAGAAAGTGAGAAAGCAAGCTGCTTGGTCCAGGACTCGAACCACCATTAGCCATGTGGGAATCCAGCTCCGTTAGCCACCATACCACCTGCTGGTCCCTAAATAAGTATTTTTAAAACAATAATAAAAATTATAAAGGTCATAGAGGACTTCCATGCGA